GGGCCAAGCTGCTGCTGCCGCTGCCCCAGCCCCAGGGCAGCTGTCCCGTGTTGCCCGTGCAGCCGTTACCTGCGAGAAAGCAGAGCCACGATAGAGGAAACCAGCAAAAAATGCCGGGCGGCGCTGTAAAATAACGAGTGGAAGCCGAACATAGCAGCCGTGGCTGTTCTTGGAGGCTTCCCAGCGCTCTGCAGTGGGCAATGAGCTGATAAACGACGCCCAGCAAAACTTTAGGACCAGGCCCCTTCGTGCCTCCAAAGGTCACGTCCTACCAGGCTCACCCAGAGCAGAATTTCTCCCCGTGTTTATCCCTGCAGGCGCGGTTATTCAGCTCCCTATCATTAAGCTGGGAGGGGAAATTGGTCTCAGCAGCACCACAAGAGCAGCCCTGCAGCTACGCTTTACCCTTTGTGACTTGCAAACCAGACAGGGAGCGTTTTGTACAGCACAGCCTGAAACGCTGCTGTCATTATTTTTAAAAGCTGCATTAAAATGCAAGATTCGGGCCGCGATACGGGATTAAGCAGCAGATAGCTCATTTTCCCCAGAAAGACGTCAGAGAAACCGAGGCCATCAGCACTCCCTGCTGCTGCAGCATGGCCCGGGGGCAGCAAAAACCCTGGCTCAGCAGAAGCCGTCCAGGCACGGAGGAAGTGAGGCCATCCCCTGGGCTTCCCCGCACCCCAAACAGCCTGAATTGCGCTGCTCACGGCCTTCCCCAAAGCACCCTTCTCAAGGCATCCAGCCCCAGAGGACCCCCGACAGTGGGAGCACCTCGGCCGGCCTCAAATGCCGGGCAGCGGGCTCCAGGCAGAGGCAGCGGAGCCGGGCAGAGCACAAGGATGCTGCACAGCCCCCTTGTCCTGCAGCCCCTGCTTTGAAGTGGGGGCACAGCTCGCCCCCGCTGCTCTTGCACATAGCTCGGCAGGGCAAGAGGAGTCTTTGCTTCTCCTGCCACCGTGTGGCCGCTCCGAGGATGTCCTCGCGGAGAAAAAGCAAAATTGGCCCCAAACCCGCTGTTGTGAATGGGAGTGTGCTGGCTAACTCCTCCTCAAGAGCCGTTCCACCTCCTGAGTGCTGATGCACATTTGTCAGCAGCGTTGTGATGGCCTGAAGCCCATCTCATTAACCCAACTCATCAGGTTCACGTAGGTGCTCATTTGCCATCAAGGCCCGACCTGCTGGTTGCCATACAGAGCTTCTCCTTGCACAAGGCACAAGCACACCACAGCCCCCCCCAGCTCTCAAGGCGATTTTTTTTTTTCCCCAGAGAACCATCCCAGGGCCATCTCCATCTGGGAAGTTCTTGCAGAGACTGGCAGGGTCTGGCCTTCCCAGGGGGAGGTGGCCGCATGCCAGGACCATTTCTGTGCCTTACTGATGGGGAAAGGAGGAACTGACAACTGTTTTTTTCCCTTCCCTTTTCTTGAGAGGGGCAGATCCTGTACTCATTCAGTGACAAGCGTTCTTTCATAAGAAATGAGAAAGCTTTTGCCAGCAGATCTCAAGCCAGAAGCCCTGTTGAGAATTTCAAATCCACTTTGGGGTCTCTGCTCGCCCTGCCAGCACAAGGCTGACCAACTGGCACAGACAAGCACTGACCCTGCTGGAGTCCCACTTGGAGCTGCTGACATTTCTGGGTATTTCTGCTCACCTTTCACCAGGACAGGGTGCAGGCTCCCACCTCCTCTAGTACTCGCCTTCCTGGAAAAAGCAAGTCTTGGCTAGGCTCGAGGGGCCAACAAGCTCCACATACCACAGTTACAAGGAAGGATTGCTTCATGTTTCCAAATCATGCATGAGGGAAGGAGGTCATGGAGAAGCAAATCTGTCTGCAGAGGGGTTTGCATGAGAGTCAGCCACAAAATTTGCTTGGGAGTGGTGCGCAGTGCCAGGTCCCAGCCATATCCCATGGCAAAACCGCCTGCTTTGGACCATGGCCCCCTCTGGGAAGCCAAAGTATGCAGCAAGCACCTCCTGGGGAGTGCCTTAAGGAGCTGGGCTGCCACAGGCCAAGCTTTTTGCAACCGTCACAGAGAAAAGGAAGGAAAAGGCAAAAGTTCAGTCTGTGCTGTGCTCTACAGAGTTGACTCAGCAGCAGCACGCATGCTGCGGTGTCAGTTGAGCAAGGGGATTTACACATGCCTTTTTTCCTTTGTAAAGTCCATTTCAAATCAATTTATCACTCCACAAGCAGCTTCCTTTGCTAGAGCAGGGCATAGAGTTCAGATGCTTGTAGCTGCAAGCCTGCATCCCAGTAGGTACCTTGCAACCTAAGTACACAATCCTAGCCAAATAAGCAAAAACACCTAAGACCTATGAAATCAACCCTAAAGCCCTTCCTGCAGCTGTGCAATGTACAGAGGATGAATTGGAGTGTCTAAGGCAGAGCACACATGGGTAGCCAAAAAAAGACCTACACAACAGATCAGGGATTTGTGCTAGAGTCTTGCTAAACCCATCTGTGCTGAAGTGTAAATGCAGTTTAATAAGGTATAAGCTCTTCCACATACAAGGCATGAGTTCTGATTGCTACAGAAGACTAAAATGAAAACTTTTGGTTAATAAATTAGCTCTTGATCCCTTTTCCAGAGATATTCCACAGCAAAAGCCCTTCTAATTAATGCACTATCAGCCTTTCTCAAGAGACACTTTCCCCTTAGTCTGAAATAACCTATTCAACTATACAATGACTTAAAGTGATAATCTATGAAGGAAAAAGACTACCAATTTTAGTTAACAATATCCTTTTGATGAAAAAATTTTTGGGGAGGAGGGGACATGAAGCATATTTGGTACACGATATGATAAATCTATATACCTCAGCCTCTAGCATATTCCCTTGTGCCAGGAAACAAATACAACCATTAAATGTGATTATATCCTTCCTCCTCTTGCCAACAGTAATGTCTCCAATAAGGCTCATTTAACCTAGAAAGGGAAAATTCTCTTATTTTCTAAGTTTCCAGTCCTCATTATCTTCCCTTTCCCTGCAAAGTCTTAATAGCCTCTTTCATAACAATCAGGAGAAGCTTAGGGAGCCACTCTCACCTAATTAAATCTGTGGGTTTTTTTGTTAACAACTCTGTAGAGTACATGACAGTAAATAACCTGACTTGTTTTTAATGCAATACAACAGGAGAGCTATAACCAATAGCAGAAACTCTAAGGAAACACCGTGCATGGCTGGTCGCTATTCAAAGCTTGCTGACACCCCCTGGCGAGGCACAATGCCACCCATGTCTGCCAGCCAGCACAGCCCTTGAGAACTCCGGAGGGGATTGATCAGCTGCCCAATATTGGGCACCAGCAGTTCTCAGCTCAACATGCTGAATGACCTTACAGAAAGAGGCTGTGAGGCTGTGCCCTGGTGTGCTCACCCAGGGGAAAGAAAAACAGAAAGAAAAAAGCTGCATTTCCCCACATTTCCGTTTTTATGACTGAACTAGAAAGAGCCAAAACAGCATGCTGGCACGGAGCCCAGTGGGCTGCCGGTGAGGCGCAGGATAGCAACTGCAAGTGTGAGAAAGTTTCCTTCTCACACAGCTTTTTGAGCTCTAAACACTCCCACTTTGGACATTTATCAACCCAACCATCCCTTCTGGGGTTTCAGATCCACTCACCTTGCCACATAAAGTACTTACTTGCAGCAATTGGCTTTCATCCACATCCTGAGAAAAAGGCACACACCTTAGCTGTGTTTGAGCAGCACATTTGTGATATCTGCAGCTATAATCCAAAGAATTACAAAGCCAACACAGCAAGGACAGCACATCTTAGAGGCCAGTTAAGTCCCCCTGAACCTCAGCTGCCCTAGGGCAAATTTTCTTATTGCTATTTTTTATTTTTTTTTTAACTTTGGTCCAGCTCAGTGAGAAGACAGCTACACAGGCACAGCCTTCACCATACTCCAGGTCTCACCTCCCTCCCCAGGGAAAGCAAGCTTTTTGCCCTCCCTCTATATATGCCCTACAAAATGTGGCTGGCCACGTGCTGAGCATTAGAGGGATGCTAACATGGAACAAGGAGCACCTGCAGGCAGCCTGCGGGGATGGGACCTGTTACATTCACCTGGCAAAACATTCATTAGCTATGATCTTGCACTTAGTTGCCTTCACAACACTAAAACTGTGTCCAGAATCAGTGTCTGGGAGGCTTTCTCGCCAGTCATCTTCTGGATCACTCTTTGATCACTCAGAGTTAATGGAGGGGTGGACAAAACAACCATTGTGCTTCCAACGTAACCACAAGTCCATGCCCCTCCTCAGGCCTGGATGCTGCTGGACACATCTCCCCAGTACATGGTGCACCCCAATCTCTCTGCCTCTCACGAGTGCTCCTGCACCACTGGTTTGCAACAAATGAAGCCACAGCATGAGCTGAGGCAGGGCAGCCCCACAAAAATGACAGCGGAAGCAGGCTCCGGGTTTTGCCTAACCTGATACTCCTGAGATAACTCCTCTGTAAACATGAAAACTGGGAGGTGTTAGACAATATACAAAAAAATAAAAACTAAATGCCAAGTGCAGTTATATCACCCAGCTGGCTCCAGCCCTCCTGCAGAAAATGTTATTAACACCATTTACTTTCTGTGTCGGTGGATTGAAGATGAGTCTCCACTGGCAGGTGCTGTTGCATTGCTTCATGCTTCCCAGCACATTTCCCCACAGCCCGGCACTTTCCAACAAACCAGAGATGTGTGGGAGGATGTCACTCTCCACTACCTCATTTCTGGGACACCCACTCAAGCCAAGCAGCACACCTCCATCAGATCAGACATGCTGGGACCCGACCAGGCAGGGCTGTGCCTTGCCTTCAGCAGTGCCATTGAGGCCCATTCCTTCCTTGCTTGCTATTTATTCAGCTGCTGAGCTGTAAGCTCAAAAGCAAGAGGAAAATGATAGGAAAAGCTCTGCGTACCTGCCCTGCGTGCCCCAGGCGTGCACCCCCCTGGTACAGCAGCTGCTCCTCACATGCTGCAGGAACAGACCACTACCCAGTGGCATGGAATAACCTTTAATTAGTATCTTTTGGCTTATCTGCTGAATATTTCATCAAATAGGTCTTCAGAATCTCATTTCTGAGATGGTTCTGATTTTGAGATAGAACTTTTTAAACACAGAGTTCTTGCTGCTTAACTTTTAAAGTAGCTAAAAGCCATATTTTCAGTTGGGATATGCCAGGCTTGTCTCCTGGTTTGTTGCAGGGATTAGCTGCTCTACAGCCGCTGAAACATCAGGGGAAAGGGGGCTGATTTTGAAATATATTTGAACTGCCTATCCGCACTACTACTTGACATCGTTATTTTATGAATCACAGCATCACAGTACCTCCCAAGTTGGAAGAGATCCACAAGGGTCCAACTCCTGGCTCCACACCAGGTCACCCCCAGATCAGACCCTGTATCTGAGAGCAGTGCCCAAACACTGCTTGAACTCTGGCAGCTCGGTGCTGTGACCACTGCCGTGGAGCCCAGTCCAGTGCCCAGCCACCCTCTGGGTGAAAAAGTGGGGGTCTCTAGCAGGTTTCTTATGGCTGGCTCCCATGGGAAGCATCCTTTATCTGCCCAGTAACACCAGCCAGGCCCTGGACTCTCCCCACTGGCCAGCTTCTCAGGTTGTGTGTTACACGTGGCACAAGAGGAGGACTTCTTCCTCTTAAAAAAATAAACAACATCCCGTATTGTCCCAGGAGCTCCACGGAGCACAGAGAAGGCTGTAGTTGTACTGCAAGGGCTGTATTTACACACCGGTGTTAATTTGCTGCTGCACTTAGTCACTGTAGTCACTGGCGGTTGAATCTAACAGAGTTAAACAAAGCTTTACAGCACACTAGCAAGGCAGAATAGTCAAAGTTTTTCTTCTTTTCCCTTTTTAATCCCAACCGAAGGAAGGGCTTTAGTGATATCTCTTGCCCTGGACCTGGAAGGCATGGCCTGTTAATCAGCAACCAGGGAAGCGGCGGTGATTCACGGCCCGGTTTCTGAGCACAGTTCAAGTCCTCACCTTGTTGTGGCCACGGAAGGAAAACTGCTGCACCTGTGACCTAACGTGCAGTGCTCCCAGGTCTGGCAGCCGTTTCTTCGCACACGTGCCCAGCCGGGGCTGCCGGAGCAGGGCAGCAGGGTGCTGCAGCACATCAAAGTCCCACTGGGAGCACAGCCCTGCCCAGGAGGGTTGTGCTGGCAGGCAGGTGCTGCTCGGTGTCCTGGCTCAGCCCCGAGCTGAGCACAGCTCTGGAACCGCCCTGCAAATGATCCGGGCATCCCCAGCCTCCACCAGGCAGGGGAGGCTCCTGATGCTGTGCTGCTGGCTGGGGATGGGGATGGGAGTCCCCCCCTGGGAGGGCTTTCCTGGCCTCAGCAGCAGGAAACTCACCCAGGAAGCAGGCAGGGGCTGAACGAGTGGCTGAGCTAGCCCCCGACCTGTGCTGACAGCTTTGCCTGGGCACGTGTCAATTCAGGAGATGGGCTTTCCCCTTGGGGTATTCACTCTGATCTTCCTCTCTTCTACAGACTCGGTCGTGTTCAGAGCAAGTCCTACACAGGTATTAACACAGGGTGAGAAAGTGCCTGACCTTTTCAGGAGAGTTTGCAGCCTGGCTGCCAGAGAGGCTTTCTACAAAAGGACTTTCGGCTCGTTCCTGCAGATCCTGATTTTCAAGTCATGCAGAGGACAGAAGCACTGCTCTTCCTGCCCTAGGACCCACTGCCCAGGACTGCCAGCCCTGGCCAAGCACCCCAGGAGCCCTGCACAAGCCGCAGGTCCCAGAGCCACTGCGACACAGCCCGGGGTCCTTGGGAGCTTGCACCCCGCTCAGGGGGCGATGGCAGACGGCTGCTTCCTCTGCTCCTGCCGCATCTTCAGAGCCAGCATCGCCCGGCGGTACAGGTCTGGGGAAGGAAGGGAAGTGGTCAGGCACTAACCCAGGGACACTAATCTCTGGGACCAAGCCTGGCAGCCTGTGTTGAGCAAGGGCTGCAAGGACGCCCCAGACCCCAGCACAGTGCACTCACGTGCCCTTGCTGCATCCCACCTAAAGGCTGCAGCACTCACCTCCCCAGCAGCCCCCCCCCTTGCCCTGCAGCAGCACTTGTTCCTGCCTGTGCTTGTGCCCCTGCACCAAGCACGGTGTGGCCAAGGGCTTCTAGGCAGCTCACATCCCGCTGCCAGCAGGCCAACCCCCCTGATGCTTTTCAGCAAAATCTGTCCTGGGAAATACCAACCAAAGGTGCTGGAGACCTCCTCCCGCTGCTGCTCCACGGCAGGCTCCTGCGACTTGATTTTATTCTTAATTTTCTTCTTCTTTTTCTTTTTCATGCCCTGCGCTGGATGGAGAAATACAAAATTTCAGACGTCACATTTGGGCAAGGATGCCTCTGTCATCAAACCAGCCGAGAGGACGGCTGCTGGATGGTGGATCCGCAGTCCTGCTGCTGAGATGCCCTGAGATGTCTCTCCTCTTTCCCGGCCAGACTCCTGCAGCCCCACTCTGCGCCCAGCTGATCTGCAAGCAAAGCTAAGGGAGACCACAGGGACTGGTGCTCCAGCACACCACCACATTTCGGGGTCCCCAAACCACCCCTTGGGGTGGCTCTGAGGATCCCGATGTGCCCGTGCCAGCAGCCCTCACAGCCCCCTCTCACCTGGGTGGGGGGCAGCCATCCCGGGGGGCAGAGGTTCCTCCTGCCCGACCCTGTTGGGGGCCAGCAGCCCCACAGCAGAGCTGGCTCGGCTGTCACCCCCTCCTCCTGGTCTGTCCAGTTCCTCGGCCAGGCTTGGCTGCCCCGGGCCCTTCTTCCTCACCTTCACCTTCCTCTTCCTCTTCCCAGGACCCTTTGCACTCTCCTCCTGGGCAGGGAGAGGAGGGGATGAGGAGAAGGCAATGGCAACCCCCTCCAGCCCAGCCCACTCCTGCTGTGGCCGGGGGGCTCTCACCTTGGGGAGGAGACGGCGGGCGGCCCGGTGCTCCCCCATCTTCCCCACACCATCCTGGTTGTCCGGGGCATCCCTGGTGGGGCGAGAGCACAGCCCACGGGCTGTCCGGGGGCTGGGGTCGGCCGTCGGGGAGCGGGTGGCAGGGAGCAATGAGGAGCGCTCGGCAGCAGCACGCAGGAGCCAGCGCAGCCCCTGCAGGGTGCTGCGGGCTGGGCCGGCAGCCGCACACGGCTCCTGGGGATGGGGGAGCTTGGTCAGCCCCTGAGACCCCCCCTGGTGCCTGGCAAGGGGAGCAGGGTTGGGCAGCCTGCCTGCAACTCACGATGCGGCAGGGCGAGCGGTTCTCGTTGACCAGCCGCTCCAGTGCCAGGCGCTCGATCAGCTCGCAGGGCAGCAGGGCGGCCGCCACGTCCTGCTTGTTCGCCAGCCTGGGGCATGGGGAGAAGGCGGGCAGTCACCCCTGGCACCCTGCTGCACCGTGTGGGGGAGACTGGCTGCTTTCTCCCAGTTTGGCTGTGGTTGGGTGAAGCATTGCCCCGAGCCGTGCCCGATGCTGGAGCCCCTCTCCAGGTGCTCTCAGCACCCCAGCACTGCAGGGGTCCCCATGTGCTGGCACCCCCTGGTACCACGTCCCCACGGCAGCCTTGCTGCACTGCCCGCAACCCCATCCACAGGCTCCCACTCCTCGCCCCAACCCCAAACCCTGCGGGTCACAGCCAGGAGACTCAGCCTTACAGTAAGAGGGGCTTTCCAGAGACATCAGGGTGACTCAGGATGCGGCTCAGAGCCTTGCGGGCCTCCTCCATCCTCGCCAGGTCACTGGAGTCCAGCACGAAGAGCAGCCCGTGGGCTGTGCTGTAGTGGCTGCGCCAGGCGCTGCGGAAGCGCTGGGCCCCGGGCAGGTCCACCAGTGTCACCTCGAATCTGTCCACCCGCAGGCAGATCTGGCCAGGCTGTGTTGTGGGCAGCACCTCACAGGCCATGGCTGTTTGTGGGGAGAGGGCAGAGGCCAGATGCAGGAGCATCCCCACCACGCTCATCCTCTTCCCCCAGCCCCATCCCTGCTCCTGCTTGGATACCTGGAGCACAGCCAGCACCCCATGCCCCAGGCCAGAAGCTTCATGTCTTTATTTCAAAGCCCAGTTTTCCTCACTTGTACCAGACTGGGATAGCCCAGCCATGAGAGATTTGTAGGGCAGAGCTCCTGGCAGTGATCCTGCTGGGATCCTGGGGATGGTATCACCCGCTGCAGCCCACAGGCACACTGGGTGTAAGGGAGCACAACTCCTCCCCGCCACACTCCTTGTGGGACCCCCCAGCAGAAGTCAGCTTCCTCACCTCTCGCTATATCCATGATGACAGAGCTCTTCCCTGCATTGTCCAGCCCCACGACGAGCAGGGTCACCTTCCTGGGGGGCAACAACAAGGGGTGAGCAGCCCGCAGGCACGCTGTGCCCCACACAGCTCTGTGTGAGCCACCATCCCCAGGGAACAGCAGTGCCCCTGGGCAAGGGACTGCCTGCAGCAGCTCTATTTTGGCTGGGAGAGGGGCAGGGCAGTGACATGGGATTTTGCCTGGGATGGGGGAGAGGGGAGGGATGGTCCCTGGTGCCTGGGGACAGAGCAAGGGCAGAACTGTCAGCACAGCCCTCAGGTGTGTGCAGGCACCTGGAGCCACCCCGGCACCGCAGGAGCCCTCCGCACGCTTCCTACGACCATTTCCTCAGGCTCTATGGGATTAAGCAGCAGTATGCACAGGCTGTTATTTATATGGAAGCAGTTAATGATTTTTCTTAGTACTCTTCCGCGTTAGTGCATTACGGCAATACACAGAGAAATAGCAAGGACGTTTTATGAGCTTCTGCCTCGACCCAGGAGGTTTTTCCTGTTCCTCAACAGTCATGCTTGCTCCGCAGTGACACGCTTCATCTGAGCCACGAGCATAGCGTTTTCCCTTTGCTTTACATGTCAACAACGTTAGTCACTTTCAGTATCTTTTCCATAAATATACACAGGAGTCTGCGTGGGCAGCGAGCTCCTCCTCCGGCGTTATGGTACAGCACCACACTGTTGCTGGTGGGAAAGGACCATAAACCCCCTTACTGCCCGCAACGCCTGCCTGCCCGGCTCCTCCCCAAGGGAATTAGGTCTGGCCTCACGACACACGCAGGCAGCTCGGTTTCACCTTGCCCTGTAATTCGGGGCCCTCTCACTCAGTGCCACGGTGCCGGTGCCCTCCCTGATAAATGCGCACCCGAGCGCTGAGCTTTCTGGAGAGCCCCTGGAGCGGGCGCACGGATTTACCTGATGGGCTCCTGTATGGCCTGCAGCCAGGACCAGCAGTGGGAGAAGAGGTGGAACATGCTCTGCAGCCCTGCGCCGAGGGGATGGCCTCTCTTTGGCACCTGCAGAACGAGCAGCCCGGTGTGGCTTTGTCCCCCTGCCCACAGCCACCCGCACCTTCTGGCATCTCAGGGGTGTGATTCAGCCTCTCACCTGCTTGCTCTCCTGCCCGGCTCCCGCTCGCATCTCCTCTGCGTAGCATCTGCTTAAATCTAATCTGGATTTACACGATTTACTCCTTGCAGGCTCCCTAATCCTGGTGGGTCAGCCCAGGCCAGTGGCCACTGGGAAATGGAGTGCTGCAGCCCCTGTGTGGCTGCTCCTCTCGGCACCTCCAGCAGCAGATGTGGTGTTCAGAACAGAAATAAAGCCCAGCTGAGCAGTGCCTGGCTGGGAGCAGGGAGCTGTTGGGGACCCTGAGAAATACCCAAAAGTTTCTCGGGCTCTACTGAAGGCACTGGGCCATTCTGCACATACACAGCTCCTGAGCAGGGTCCCAAAGAGGTGGTCCTGGCCCCATGGCCCCCAGGCACAGATGCCTGGGCACCCCCAGGCCAGCTACAAGGCTCTGAAGCAGAGGAGGGTCTGGCTGAGAGTTGCACTGGGCTGGAAAGCGGTGACAGTAGGGCGAGGAGCTGAGCCAGCAAAAAGCACCAGCTCCTTGATCTGCAGCCCCAAAGCTCTTATGAGGCTCTTCAGGTTTCCTGTTGCTTCCCACAGCTGAGGCTGCCTTCTCTGGAGCCAGACGAGAGGCCCCGAGGGGATTTCCGAGCCACAGAGACTTTCGGTGTGGAGCACAGGGCCCAGAGGGATGAGGACACCAGACCTGGTGAAAGGCACACCGGGGAGTTCCCACAGACTGATGGGGTCCCAGCAGCCCGTGCCATACAGCAGCTGGCAGCAGTGAGCTGGGTTGCAGAGGCAGTGCCGGGCACCCCGCAGCACCCACGCGCTGGGGCACAAAGCGAGGTGCCTGAGAGCTCTGCAGTGAGCAGGGAGCTGCAGCAGGTTAATGATTGACCAAGGAAGTTTCCACACCCATCTCATGGCCAGACACCACAGCCGCACGGTTTGGGGTGACTGTTCGTGTGCCCCACGTATGTGGCACCACCCTAGCTGCGTCAGGCAGAGGGAGAGGTGACCGGGCAGCACCCAGGGCACTGCAGGGCTGTCCTATTAGCTGAGTGTTTGTCTCATTTCTGCATGCCAGTAAACAACCTGCTTCCTGGCCTCCACAGCTTCCTTGCCTCCCCCTCGTGCTCATCCCCTCCTCCTACACGGAGGTACTGCAGGATGGGTCAGCACCTCTGCCACAACCCTGCTCCACTTCCCAGGGCCCAGCGGTGACCGTGTCCCCCGGTCCCCAGCCTTTCCCTGCTGCTCCTGTGCTCACAGCCTCACCGGTACCAGGGGCAGTGCCAGTTTTTGCAGGCAGCACGGGGCTGGGAAGCTTTTTGCTGATCTATCTGCACCCGTAGTGCACGGGCACTCTGGGGACGGGAGCATCTCCCTGTGCCTGGGGATGGCACTCGCCAGGTGACAGCCGGGCCAGGTGGCAGGAAGAGGCACGACCACGGGTGCTATAAATAGAGGAGTGCAATGTGGCAGACAGCTGCAGAGCCTCCCAGGGGACAGCAGAGTGGGTCTCCCTCCCTGCACCAGCACATTTTGAGAGGTCTCCGCTGTTGTAACGCCTATGTCTGAAATTCCTGGCTGCAGGGACTGGGAAAAACCCCAGGCAGCAACATAACCACCCCTCCTGACGTGCCCACAGCCAGGAAAACCTCAAGAAACACCCCCAAAAACAGCAAAACTGCACTCAGCTCTAGAAAGACGAGAGAGGGCCAAGCCCTCGTCGCTGGGCGGTTTGCTCCTGCCCAGGACTTGGCTCAGAGCGCCGGGGCTCATGTTACAGAGCAGGCGGCTGGCAGGGTGCCCGCCTGCGCACCCGGCGCCTTGGGTGGCAGAGGGACACGCGCGTCCCCTCTCCCTGCACGCCCCGCGGCTCGGGGACACCCCCGGGCAGTGCCAACGGGGACCCAACGGGAGCCGTCCGGGTTTCCTTGGTGACTGTTGCCAGGTGAGAAACTCCGAGGCAGAATTTATTATCTTGGTGGATAAGAGGAGATGTTCCTTGCTGGGGCTGCTACCGGACCCTGTCCCGGCACCACGCTGCGCTGGACGCCCCAGTGACACCGGTGACAGTGGGGTCCCCGAGAGCAGGCTGTGCCTGAGGAGCCGGGGCTGTGCGGCCCCTGGTATCTCTACCCGGAAGGCAGCACGTGTTTTAGGGCTATTTCTGCCTGCTGGAGAGTGGCAGGAGAGGGAAGGAGGCAAAAACCACAGGGACCGCGGAGAAGCACAGATGGACGTGGGCTGGTGGGCTGCCCTGCCTTGGCTTCCCTAGACCCCGTGAGTATGCACCGAGCGGCTTTGGGTGCACCGGGACCACCACATGGGGCCCCCGGGGTGAGGAGCAGAGCGGGGAGACAGCGGTGGCAGGGCTGGGGAAGGCTGTGCATGGGGAATCACAGCTTGCACCAGGCAGCGCTGACCAGAGGTGACCAGGGCTGCCTTCAGCACTGAGCTGGGGTGGCAGTAAAAACCAGGTGAGGGCGAGGACCGGAGTCCCAGCAAGTGTCTGCAAGCTGTCCTGGTCTTCTTGGGACTGCTTCGTCTCTGGACCTGCCCAAAAAGGCAGGGGCACAGCAACCGCGGCAGGGCAACGACGTGCCTGAGCTCTGGGGAGCTCAGGTGTTGGACAACAGCAGCAGGCCAGTATGCAAATATCTGCATCGTTCCTTTAAATCCCCACACGGCTCTGGTGGCTAACGATAAAGCCGATCATATGGGCTTGCAAATCCTAGGAGCTAATTACACCCCAGTGCCTGGCAGTCAGGCTGGAATCGCAAGATAATTGCCACCTCCGCCGTGGAAACCTGTTGTCAGTGAATCAGGGCCCTTGCAATGTTTGCTAGCAGAGTGTGGCAGGCCAGCAGCTGCTCTGCAGCTATTTTAGGAGAGGGAGGCCATTTTTCTGGATCTCTTTTGCCCCCCCCCAGCAGACGGCACGGCTGCCCTGAGCCCCACGGCGAACGCAGAAGCAGGGAGATGTTGATTTCAGAGCAGGCAGGTAAGTGCCCTTCTGGCCTGTGCAAACATCAGCAAGCCCCAAACAAGTTGAAACACGGCGAAGGCAGCTGAACACCGGCTCCTCCGCTGGGTTTTCTCATCCTGTCCCCGCTCCCTGCTGCAAGTGGAAGCTGACAGCTCACTCCTGCACCGTGCACAGAGCTCAGTGATGCCCCTGCAGCAGCTGCACGCGCTCCCCGTGCTTGCACGGTGGTTTTGCTGAGTGCAGTTCAAGGCTGCTGCTCTTTCTGCTTTCCTGCAGCAGGGCGTGGGCAAGAGGAGGTGAGCGGAAAGCGTGCCTGCAGGATGCCCCCAGCCGGGTCAGCCGCTGGCAGGGCCAGGCACCGTACACCTGGTGGGAACAGGGGAATTGGGTAATTACAAGGAACTTTAAGTCCTCCCACCTGGTTTACAGCCTCTCAGCTGGGACTGTAATCAAAGGGCCATGATTTCAAAATGTATAAATATCACTAAGATAAATCCACCAAACAGAGGCAGCTTTATTTTCTTGGGAAGCATTCAAGCCACGAGGCAGCACAAGATGCCCCATGCTGGGACCGTCTCCAGGGCCCCACCGACCCCCAGCAATGCCGAGCCTCACGCAGCCCCCAGAGGACTTAGAGGGGTGAAGTCCTCAGACAGACCCAGGTTTTCCCCTCTGCAAATGCCTGCTTGCAGGGTAAAGGAGTGAAGCTGCAGAAGGAAAACGAAAAGGAGCAGCAAGAGCAGTCACATGAAACTGCAAAGCAAATGGAAAAAAATATTTTCCCAACCAAAAAATATTCCACAGACAGGGCAGGAAAAAAAATACAGCTGAGTTCTTGAGAATGCAATGCAAAGTCCAAACAGTTTAAGCTGGGAAGACTGGTCAATTGCAAAGTTATTTCCAAACTAAGTAAAAAGTTCCTGGCTCACAAATTCCTCTAAGCCCCTCCAGCTGCTCCATCTGGCCACTGCAAGGGCACAGAGCGCAGGCTGCTTCTCCTGCTCACAGCACGTCTGGCTGGGAAGCATTTTGTGATCTCCGTCCAGCGTTTTGTGATCTCCACAGGGTCTCCTGGGGATCCTCATGTCCCCACCGCCACCCCGTGCAGCACCAGCTGGATGTTAACTCCACGGCACAAAGCGCATCCCAGGGAGGTTTCTGATCTGAGCGGGCAGCAGGGGGGGAAGCACCACCATCCTGCGCCCCAAGCAGCTGCCTCCACCGCTGCGTGCAGGGCTATATTTGGGAAGCTGGCAGCGCGCTGCTTGGCATGTCCCACCGACTTATTGGGAGCGATGTCTGCTCCGGGGTCCTAGTGCGGTGAGGGGGGGGAAGGAGAGGAAACCAATTTCAGGAGCCTGTGGGTAGTTCTCCTGCATCTGGGCTCTTTAAGGGCTGTTGCAAGTTATTCCCTGCCATCTCCATTTTTCTTCTGCTCTCCTTTTACAGCTGCCGGGCAGGCATGTGTAAGCGAGATGTGCCTATTTTCAGTGTCAGAGCCGGTGAGGGAGGCTGTTCCTACCTCTATGTATAGCCCGGGCTGTCACACACAAATGCCCTTACTCATCCACAGGCATGCAAGGGGCTGGAAAAGCTGTACAGCAAATCCCGATTTCACACGGTGCATAGGCACCGTTGCTACATCCCTGTGTTCAAAGCGCATTGAGTGAACACTGGGATTAATAAAATAATGAAGTCTGGGATTAAGAGAATAATGAAGCTGGGTTGTGCTCCAGGACAAGGCTCTGAAAACAGTTTCTGAAAACAGGAGAAGTGACGGTCTCATGTGGGGACAGCGCCCAGGGGTGGCACCTTGGGCATCCTCGAGTGGTGGGACACACAAACAGTGATGCCCACAGCAAGGCAGGGGGCAGGACTGCCCGCGGGCAGCACTGCAATGGCCAGGTCCAGGGTGTTTGTGCCACTGTGCCCGCACTGGGTTTGCAGAGGTACTAATCCCAGGTAGAGGGAGTGGTAGCAGGGAAGGATCACCCTCTGATACTGTGCATAGATCACTTTTATGACCTGTTGTTTACAGTGCTGAGCTCTGGACAGGTAGGCTTAGGCTTGAGGGGTGACTCACAGCCTGAACCAGAAAACATCCCTCTGCCTCTCTGTGCTCAAACAGAAAATAGGATAATAACTGGTGTGGGGAAGCGCTGTGAGGCTTTGTCCATCCATTCCTCTGATGGGTACTGAGGCTCCGGGACACGGGACTGGAATTCTTGACTTCTTAAACAATTGCTCTTAAATATTTCATCATGAACCAGGGGAAGATGAAATTAAAAATACGATGACTCTGAGCCCAGGCATTGCTCAGCCGAGGGCTTGGTGACCTGCCAGACTCCTGGGGGATGCTTTTAATTTGGATAAATGGAAGTTGCATAAATGATTTAAATTGCACGTCGCCCTTGCTGCTAATACGGAGGTGTGGGAGCAGTTGGCAATGCCACAATTTGTGCTGTCACCGGCTGAGCTCCTGGACACGCTGCGTGCCGGGGCCAGCACAGCCACTGCCTGTGCACAGCTCCCACCCTGGGTGTCCACAGGAGCTGCCCGGCTGGTGGCAGGCTCGCTCGCTTGGACTCTGCTCCCTTTGCACTCTGTCCTGCTGGTTTTCTTGGGGAGGCTCTTTTCCAGAAACACCTTGAAAAATATGTAACTATCATACCAGAGCTGAGAGGGAAGCATGTAGGCTTCCCGTCCCCTCCAGTCGGGCCAGTCTGCGTGAGCTCAGAGTGTTTGTGGGCTCCTCAAGCAGCTGTTTGGTGCTGGGAGGGAAAGAGTGGAGCAGCCGCAGCAGGCGGGGCTGCTGGTCTGCGGGAGCTGCCATCGGGGAGATGCAACCTCCGAGGTCTCGGGCGGTTTCAGTCTCAGCTCAGCCTCTGATAAGCCCAATAGCCCTGGAAACGCTTCCATCCCGGTAACGTGGGGGCAGCTCTCACTTGTGGGGTTCGTGGGGTTTCATGCTGCAGGGGAAATGAGCTTGTGCTGTGCGTGGGGCTGGGCAAGTGATGGGCACAGCATCGCCACTGGCTGCTCCCCTGCTGTCAGCGTGGGCACCTGCCGAGGGCTGAACACCCAGTTCTTCTTAAAAGATACCTGAGGCTTCCCGGTTGTTCTAAAGCAGGGAGAACTGGCTGACCTCAAGCACTCCTTGCCTCGTCATGTCTGTCCCAGCCAGCCGGCGTGTGCCCAGCCCGGGTTGAGTAATCTGGCAGGCAGAGAGCTCTTGGGGCAGGCAGCTCACAAGCATCGCCGCAGAGGCTGCTGCCTGCGCTTGCACCAGCTCATGGGGGAGGCTGGCAGAGACCTGGACAGGCAATGGGGGCTCTAGGGGCAGAGCAGGGAGCCCCATGACCACTGGTGTTGGGAGCAGCTCAACCAGCCTGTGCTTTCCCATCACCTTGAAGGCAATGGGAAAAGCACCCTACTCTAAGCCATCACGGTCTCCCACCCTGGATGCTTGCAGGAGCCACATCTCCTCTGTAACATCCAACCCAAATCCTCAGGCCAGCCCTACACACATACCCTGTCCCTCCCAGACACAAACTGGGGTGCTCCTGCACCAGCAGGACTTGTGAGACAGCAAAATGCTCCCTGCGCTGGCACTGCCATTGCTCTCACGTACTAACCCACAAAGTGGGGGGTCACAGGCAGTGGGTGCCGTGGCCCAGCCCCACGCACCCTTCTCCTGGGCTGGAGCTCATGGTTAGCCCCAGAACTGCAAGGTATTGGGTGCAACTGGCCTGCCTGTGGGGTAGGGTTGGCACACGTGCTGGGGACCCCGCTGTCCCCAGGACACAGCCTGACACCTCTGCCCTTGGGGCCCCCCCATGCTGCTGCACCTTGGGCTGCTGCAAGCGGGGAGGACTTGGTGCATGGGAGTGGTCCCGGGGGGCACACGAGATGCTCAGGGCACGCAGGGGACAGCACAGGGGACAGCAGGGCTGGGGTTCCCGGGGAGGGTGTCCTGGACGTGGCAGGGGGGCATCCCCAGCAGGGATGGGGGAGTCATGGGGTGGAAAGCTCCCGGCAAAGCTAGGGGGCGTCGGGACTAGGGGCACGAGTGGGGTCGTCCTGGGGAGGGGGCTCCGGGGCAGAGCGGGGGGCCCGGGGAGGAGGCTCCGCTACCGGCGGGGCGTCCCTCCCCCTCCCCGTCGGGGCGGACCCGGGAGCGCTGCCGGCGCCGCCCGCCCCCGCCCCAACCGGGGCCCGGCCCGGCCCGGTACAGCACGGTCTGGCGGGGCCGTGCCGTGCCGGAGCAGCGGCTGCCCGTCGGGGCACCCTGCGGCGGGGGCGCTGCGCTCCTCCCCGCCCCGCAGCGCGGCTCCTCTCTCTCCGCTGCAGCCCGGGATGGCGCCGCCGCGAGGCTGAGCCGGGCCGGGCCGTGCCGGGCCCCGGTTGGGCCGGGATGGACGGTCCGGGAGGGGGGCAGCTGCCCACCGCCGCCCCGTCGCGGGCGAAGCTGCCGCTGGGCATCGTTTTCTCGACGGCGCTGTTCTGCGGGGAGAGCGCGGCGGCCGCCGTCCTCTGCTTCTCCTACAGCCACTCCGACGACCGCTTCTGGCTGGCGCTCACCGTCTTCTTCATGCTCTGCCCCTCCGTCCTGGTGCAGCTCACCCTCATCTTCGTGCACCGCGACCTCAGCCGCGACCGCCCCCTCGTCCTGCTCATGCACCTGCTGCAGCTCGGGCCCATCATCAGGTGAGCGCCGCGGGGACCCCGGCACGGCACGGAGCAGCACGGCACGGCACGGACCGGCACGGTGCGACCACCTTTTCCTCCCCCATCCCCGGGAACCCGCTGCCAGCAGAGCCCCCCCATCCCCCTGCAGCGGGTGCCCAGCACAACGGGACAGCCCCCGGGGGCTCCCCGGTCCCCTCCCTGGTCCCACTCCGGTGCCAGCTGCCTGCCGGACCCCTCTGGGCACAACCCGGCTCTCCCAGCCTGTTGCATGTCCGCTGCCAGAAGTGCTCCTCAGGCAGCTGCTTTTTGGAGATAGCGCTTCTCTTCCCCTCTCACTTCGGGTTTTGCCATCGCCTCACTCAGGCTCACGCTCAGAGCACAGATGCAAATCCCTGCCGGGGTGTCCGAGGGTGAACAGCAGCCAGGGTCCTGCCTCGAGAAAAGCTCCTGGGGCTTGGGGAAGGTGGGGGGCTACGGGACACGGAGGAGAGGAGCTGGGGACTGCCACACCCCCGTGGGGAGAGGAAGGTGAGGGGGTGGACGTTGCACAAGCCGGAGAGGTGCCGCTCTCTCACTCCTCGGGAATGCCGCCGTGCCTCCCCAGCTGGCTTCACCCGCCGTGCACGGGCAGGAACATCGCGCCGGCCCCGGAGCTTACCAAGGTCCCTGGCACACGGGGCTCCTTTGACACCAGCAGCCACGTTTTGGGGAGCACCGGCAGCAGAAGGGCTGTGGGCTTATGTCGGACCATACTGGCCTGTGGTGGTGGCGTGGCTCTTGCCACACTGACCACAGCCACTTGGAATTGCTACGATGGGGCTTGGATGCTTACAAGAGGTGTGCAGAGCTGCTGCAGCCGGCTCCTCGCGCAGCAGAGCGAGCCCAGCCTGCTGAGAAGGTCTGGCAGGGCACCACGCGCCAGCTTTGTTGCCCTTGAAGCCAGGCTGCTTGGATGAAATCATTTTCCCGTTAGAGTCTGGAATAAGCCGCGAGCACCGACTTGATGTGGCAAAAGCATTGATCCAAAAACCCTCCTTCCATTTAATGGGTCTGAAACAGAACGACTGCTGCTCTCCTCATAAATAATTACCTCCTGCCGGTCCCCGAGCCAGCTTGTCCCGGGCAGAAGCCAAGCCTGCCGCATCAGTCCTCCACTGGTTGCTCCTTGTCCACGCACGCTGCTGGCATGGGTGTGAGGCCCGAGGAGAGCAGATAAGGGCTGGAGGCTGCTGTGCTGCAGGGGCCTGGCACTGGGGAGGCAGCAGTGGAGCAGCACAGAAGGGGCCAGGCTCTCCAGAGACGTGCGGGTGCTCTGCAGGGACGGGCTCAGGAAGCGCCGTGTTATCTGCCCATCGCAACCCCCTTCCACCCAGCTGTCTGCTTCCTGCCTCCACCGAGGAGGAAGCGCAGAAGACTTTTGGTCAAGAGATCAAACACAGTAGCAGAACATATCTGTTGCCTCCACATATGGAAAGAGGTGTTTTTTTGTGCCTGTGGGATGCACAGCAGCAGAAAAACAGAGCCAGGTGTGATTAATCCCGTCCCTTACGTCCCTTTCACTCCCAAAAGAGCTACTGTTCCTGTATCACCTAAGCTGCACCCTCCTCGCTGCCGGTCCCTTGTTGTCCCTGTGCTCCCGAGCACCGGAGCAGGATGAGGGGCTGGGGAACAGCGTGGTGACAGTGGCCATGTCCCCGCAGGTGCGTGGAGGCCCTGGTAGTATACTGCAGGTCGGGGAGGCAGGAGGAGCCCTACGTCACCATCACGCGCAAGAGGCGGCTGCGGAAGGGCTATGAGGTGGAGATGGAGCAGGAGGTGGGCCACTCCATGCGCCGGCTGGCCACCCACCGCAACGCCTTCAAGCGCATGGCGGTCATCCAGGCCTTCCTGGGCTCCACGCCGCAGCTCACCTTGCAGCTCTACATCAGCATCCTGGAGAAGTACGTCCCCACCGCCCGAGGTAAGGGGGTCGGGGCCATGTGTCGGGCACGTGGGGTGCAGGCTGCTGTCCACGATGGGCACGCGGGTGGGGAGGGCACGGTGACACCTCCTTGGCTGCTTGTGTTGGTGTGGCATCCACGTCACACTCCACGGGTGCACCCCAGCCATCCCTGCCTGCCCCGAACGGTGCTTAGGTGCTTGCCCTGCAGAGCCGTGTAACCCCCCTGGCGTTGTGCCCTGTATAAACGCTGTGCCCCTGCCCCATGGGCAGCAGCCTTTGGGTGAGCTGTACCGTCAGCCACCTTTGGAAGCCAGGCTGCTCCTGCTCTGCTTTAGTCACTTGATTTTTCAGGCTACTGGGGGTTCCCAGCACAGCAGCTCAGGGGTTCTGCCACCTGCTTGTGGGGTCAGTAACGTGCTCTGGTGCTCCCTGCAGCAGACCCAGCTTCTAACCTCTGCTGTGGTGTGCCAATGAGCCACATGCCCTTGTGCCTTCTCAGTTCTGAGCATCTGGTGAAGATTGCTGACCCTCTCTCCCCTGCAGTGCTGAATGCCCAAATATTTGCACAGACTCCAGAACAGGTAGCAGGGTAGAAACCCAAATAAACCTCATGGCTGATGAGGAGGAAGGCGGTTTCGTTTGTGCATGGCTGCTCTGCTGGGGACCCAGTGCACTGCAGCCATGAGCATCCCCCAGCACTGCCTGACTCCTCTGCCCTCTGCCTCTGCAGCCGTCCTCATGGGGATCTGCCTGGTGTCTGTCACCTACGGGGCGCTCGTCTGCAACATCCTGGCCATCCAGGTCAAATACGATGACTACAAGGTCCAGCTGCGGCCGCTGGCCTTCCTCTGCATCGTGCTGTGGCGCAGCCTGGAGATCTCCACCCGTGTGGCCGTCCTGGTGCTCTTCAGCACCGTCTTCAAGCACTGGATCATCCCCATCGCCTTGGCCAACCTGCTGGTGGTCTTCTTCCTGCCCTGGGTGCAGTTCTGGCGGAGCGGCGCGCGGCTGCCCGACAACATTGAGAAGAACTTCAGCCGGGTGGGCACGGTGGTGGTGCTCTTCGCCTTCACGCTGCTCTACGCCAGCATCAACATGTTCTGCTGGTCGGCCGTGCAGCTCAAGCTGGCCGACCGGGACCTCATTGACAAGTCGCAAAACTGGGGCCTCCTGGCTGTGTACTACGTGGCCCGGCTGGCGGAGAACGCGGCGCTCGTCATCCTTTGGTACTTCTTCAAGACAGATGTCTATGAGAACATCTGCACGCTGCTGCTGGTGGCACAGCTACTGCTCGGCTACTGCCTGGGCATCTACTTCATGCTGCTCTTCTTCCAGTACCTGCACCCGTGCCGACAGCTCTTCCGACGCAACGTTGCCGATTTCCTGCACTGTGTCTGCTGCCGGCGGTCCCCAGGCAGCCCGGAGCGCCTTGAGGCGCCCCACGAGCCCGGCGTGAGGCACAGCATCGTGTGAGGCACGGCCTGGGGCTGCAGGCTACGGACAAAAGGGGATGGGGCAGCATGAACCACGCCGAAGGCAGCCGCTCCCTGGCCCTGCAGTGGCCACGGGTCCAGGTGCCCTCAGCTGAGCACCGGAGGATCCCCGTGGTGGCAGGGGACAGGAGCGTGCCCGCCTGGACCACGTGCCCTGGCACGCACAGGAGGGACCTTTGGGGTGTCCAGACCCCACAGGGCAGCCAGCGGGGTGCGGGGCATTGGGGTGCTTGGTACCCACCCCGGTGCCTTTGGTGACCCCAGGGACGCAAGGGCTGCTCCGGGACTGTTTTGAGCAGTAAAGAAACTTTGCTGTGGCTCCGCGTCCGGGTGCTGGCAGGCGGCTGGTGACTCACGTGCGGGTGGGGATCGTTGAGACGGGGCTGGCCTGGGTGCACGTAGCCCTTGCTCAGGCTGCCTGCAGGCCCCAGGAGGGAGCAGGATGCGGCCGGGCCCTCCCCAGAGCAGCGGAGGTCCCACAGCCCACCACCCGTCCTGCCCAAATGCTGCGGGATTGCGCTTGCCCCGTGCTGGGGCTGCTAAGGTGCAGGAAGGCTGTGGGGTAGGGAACAGCCTCATCCTGCACCTCTGCCAGCAATGGCCCTGGCTGCCGGCCAGGAGTGACCCCGACTCCAGCATGGAGTGATCCTGCCCACACTGTTCCCACAGAGGGCCAGGCCCTGGCACTGGTTGGCATCCCTGACACCAGGTCAGGGCCCTGCTGCTGAGCGTGGCCCCCCCAGCAGCCCTTTGTAGGGTCAGCTGCTGTCTGGGAGGTGCTGGGTGCCCTCAGGGGCTCAGCGTCATGGGGCACTTACTTGGTAGGAGCTCACTGCCCTGGTGCTGAGCCCAGGTGTGATCCTGGTGGCAGCATGGCCATGCCCCTGTGACATTTGCCCTCCTTTTGCGTTTTTTTCTCTTGAAACGTGACAGCAAAGGTCGGCACAGGCCAGCAGGGAGGGCTGTGTTTGCGGAATAGAGCACGTTACTGACCCTCCGCAACTTCCTGGCACCAGGAAGTTCCTACCTTAAAAAAAGTAATAAATAAAACACTTTGTCCCCAAAGGCCTCAAAGGAAGGAGAGGAGTGGGGCAATGCCCCGAAGCACCCGCCCCAGAGGCGGTGTGGCCGGGAGGGACCCCTCCTTGGAGGGAAGCCCCAGCACCCTGCCCCGCCACGGCTGCAGCGTAGCTTTCCTGGAAGGTGGCCTTTGAAACCGTGCCGGCATTTCCTCCAAGATGCTGTGGGGGAAAGTCCCCGCAGTGCCGTTCCCAGGGCCGGGGCCATTTCCAGGGCCTGCTGCCTCCATAAAACGCGGGGAGGGCGGCAGCAGGCAGCAGCAGGCAGGGGCAGACAGGCACCTCACAGCATGGGCAACTGGCTGGTCAACCACTGGTTCTCGGCCGCCGTCCTCGTGAGTCCCTGGGGCTTGGGGTGCTGGGGTGATGGAGGGGCAGGGGCTGCGTGTGGACCGGGGGCTTTGGGGGGAAATTGGGGCTGTCCTGGCTCAGTCTGTCAGCCACGGAGGAACAAATATCCCCTCGGTTTGTGCGCGGTCCCGAGGGTGGCGGAGGGGTGGCTGTGGGTCCCATCCGAAGGAAACCGGGAATGAAAGGAAAGGTGGGTCCTGGTGCTCAGGGTGCTGGGTGAAGCCTGAAGGGGTTCTTTAGGTCTTGGCCGCCTCTTCGCAGTCGCAGCCCAAATGCCAAAAATCATGAAACCCCTACAGCAGGGTGGAGAGGCAGTGCACGCTTCCCTAAGGTGTTCCCCCAAAACTCACAAGCAGAGAAGAGTGAAAATTAAAAATGCCGCTGCTTTTCTCAGCTGCTTTGGCCGGGGAGACTTTCATTTGCATTTTCTTCCCATGTGAGAGTGGGAACCTCCCACACGAGCCCTTACTGGGGCCGGGAACCTGCAGCCCACAGGAAAATCCCCTGGTGCTGCGCTGCACAGTGCCCGAGGAGCTGGAGCATCCACAGCGCTGCCGCCACAACAGCCAGCTGCAAATACTTGGGAAAGAGGGGGGTTTACAGAAAATTGGGTTATTTGCTTTTTTAAAATTGTTAAAGGAAAACTGAACCCAAGGCAGAGTAGCTGTGGGAGCTCTGCAAAAACTTACCAACGGGAAATAGCCCAGCTCCAGCGCCGCATGGAAACTGGCACAGGGGAGCAGGGCTTTGCTGTGGGGACAGCGGCAGTGTGGGACCAGGGCAGATGAGTTCCTGCAACATTTCCTCCTCCCTGGCCCTTTCCCGCTCAGTCCACGCCACTCTCAGTGCCTGCCCTGGGCCCTTCCCACTCACAACAGCCCCACGTCGTGCAGATATTTCCTTTATCAGTCTTTCCTCATTCCTCATGTGAGGGTGATGCACAAGGATGTGGGTGACAAGACAGTTATTTTGCAAGACTTCCCGCACCTCTCCTCACCTTCGCTCCCCAGTCCCATCGATTCCGTGCTGATGCAGCAATCACCATAAGGAAGCGGGACAGGACACAGTCCCGACGTCCTCCGTCTGTGCCGGCACCCATGTGCTGCAGCGTGAGGGGGTCCTGGGGCCAGGGTCCCTCACAAGCCCTTGGCTTCCCCTGCAGGCAGCCTGGCTGGGCATCAACGTCTTCCTCTTCACGTACTACTTTCTGTTCTTCGACCAGGATGAGCGGTACTTCTACACCAGGGCCATCCTTGGGGTAAGGTGCTCCCGGCAGCACCCTGCCTGTCCCAGAGCCCTCCTGGCTGGGCTGCAGTGGGACAGGGGCTGTAGCACCCCAAAACTCTTCCTTATCCTACCCTCTTCCAGCCTACCATTGCTCCATCCCAGTCCCTGCCTTGATCCCTGCTCCCAGCCCAGCATCACTCCGTACCAGTACCCACCCTGCACCCTGCATCCCACACCCAGGATCGCTTGGTCCCAACTCAACATCACTTGGCCCTGCCCCATCCCATCCCATCCCATCCCATCCCATCCATCCCATCCCATCCCATCCCATCCCATCCCATCCCACCATGACTTTTCCCAGCACGGGGCAGCAAGGCTGCAGGCGGACGCACCGTGCCCGAGGCACAGTGACGCTCACCCTGTCCGCACCTCCCCTCTCCCCAGTCTGCCTTGGCGTGGGCCCGGGCATCGGCCAAGTGCCTCAACTTCAACAGCATGCTGATCCTGCTGCCCGTCTGCCGCAACCTGCTCTCCTTCCTCCGTGGGACCTGCTCGGTGAGTGTCCTGCAGGCAGCCCCGCTGCGTGGCCATCCCTGTCCCCGTCCCTGCCCCAACCCCGCTGTCTCTCCTTGCAGTGCTGCAGGCGAACGCTGCGGAAGCAGCTCGACCACAACCTCACCTTCCACAAGCTGGTGGCCTATGCGCTGGCCCTGTTCACAGGTACCGCCCTGCCCCTGCCCTGCGTCCCCTCCGAGCACCGTGGGGCTGAGGGCAGCAGATGACCGCCTGTCCCCCTCCCAGCCGTGCACACCATCGCCCACCTCTTCAACCTGGAGCGCTACAACGACAGCCAGCAAGCCACCTGACGGCAGCCTTGCTGCCATCCTCTCCAAGATGCACCTGAACAACAACAAGTGGCTGAACCCCATCCACTCCAACCAGACAGTGAGTGCAGGTCTGCTGCCAGGAGCCCCCTGTCCCGTGCCTTCACTCACCCCGTCCCTCTGCCACCCCTGCAGACCGTGGAGTACGTGGCCTTCACCACCATCCCGGGGCTGACCGGGGTCATCATCACGCTGGCGCTCATCCTCATGGTCACGTCCTCCACCGAGTTCATCCGGAGGAACTACTTTGAGGTTTTCTGGTACACACACCACCTCTTCTTCATCTACTTTGTTGGCCTCGTCATCCACGGCATTGCGTAAGGCTCCCAAAATGCTCCCAAAACAGCAGCAGGCAGCATAGCAAGGGGCAGTGGCCATAAATAGCTGCCTGGGGGGCTGGGGTGGCTTTGGCTGCCTCAGGAGGCTGGTGCAGCACTGGATGGGGTGCAGCAGGGTGGTGAGATCGCCATGCAAGTGGGGTTGCAAGCCTCAGCTAGCCTAAGGCCAGCTGGCCCTATGCAGCCCATGACTGGGGTGGGAGAGGGTCCCTGCGCTCACCCCCTGCCTCCCTGCAGCGGGCTGGTGCGCGGGCAGACGGAGGACAGCATGGAGGAGGTGCACCCACGGCACTGTGCCGAGTACCTGGTAGAGAAGCACGAGGAGTGCAGGCACGTCTGCTGCAAAAACCCCGAGTTCAGCAGCATCCCTGCAGAGGTAGGGCAGCGGCGGGATGGGGTTGGGGCTGTGGGGGCCCCGGCTCCCTTCAGCACTCCCTTAGTAGGGGTGCACAGCCCAGGATGCTCCAGCCCTTTGCTCTCCTCCATCCTACAGTCCTGGAAATGGGTTCTGGCTCCAGTCATCCTCTACATATTTGAACGGATCCTGCGGGTCTGGCGTGCGCGGCAGAAGGTGCTCGTCACCAAGGTAGGTGGTGCTGGAGCCAGGGAGGGAGGAGACGGTGCTGCAGCCCTCGCTGGGGTGGCTGCACGGAGGTGAGCAGGGGCCACTGCTAAAGCCCAGGTGACAGGGACAGGTTGGGTGCTGAGCCCTGCTCCCTGCCCCCCAGGTGATCATGCACCCTGCCAAAGTGCTGGAGCTGCAGATGCAGAAGAAGGGCTTCCGCATGGAGGTGGGGCAGTACATCTTCGTCAACTGCCCCGCCATCTCCCTCCTGGAGTGGCACCCCTTCACCCTCACCTCGGCGCCCGAGGAGGATTTCTTCTCCATCCACATCCGGGCAGCGGGGGACTGGACAGAGCGCATCATTGACACCTTCCAGCAGCAGAAGCCGGAGATGCCCAGGTAGGCTGGGGAGCTCCCAGATGGACCATCCCAAGGGTTCAGGGAGGCCGTGCCTCTCACCCCAGCCCTCCCTTGGCCAGGATTGAGGTGGACGGCCCCTTTGGCACGGCCAGCGAAGACGTGTTCCAGTACGAGGTGGCCATGCTGGTGGGAGCAGGCATCGGTGTCACCCCCTTCGCCTCCATCCTGAAGTCCATCTGGTACAAGTTCCAGCAGGCTGACCAGACCCTCAAGACCAAGAAGGTACCGGCTGTAGGACCAGCTGGCCCCAGCCCATGGGTTTCTCCAAGCTCAGAAGTGCTTGGAAGGGGAACTTCCTCAGCATCACGTCCTTCCCCTGCTCCCGCTCCACCCTATCTTGAGTAACGCTGCTTCCCTGTGCCATTGCATCCCAGATCTACTTCTACTGGCTCTGCCGGGACACGGGTGCCTTCGCCTGGTTCAACGACCTGCTCGCCTCGCTGGAGCAGAAGATGGCCGAGTCGGGCAAGGCAGACTTCCTCACCTACCGGCTCTTCCTCACCGGCTGGGACACCAGCATCGTGAGTTGGCTGTGGGTGGGCATGACAACAAGGGGGGGACGCCTTGTAGCTGAGCCCAGGAGGAAAGGCAGGGAAAGGTTTTGCTTCTCAGGCATTTGGAGCTCCTCCAGGGGAAGGGACTTGCGGGCGGGCTGCTGGTGGCTGGGGTCCTCACCCTCCCCGCTCCGTGCAGGCCAACAACGCGGCGCTCCACCACGACACTGCCACGGACACGGTGACGGGCCTGAGACACAAAACCATCTACGGGCGGCCCATGTGGAACGCCGAGTTTTCAGCAGTGGCCACAGCACACCCCAGGTCAGAGCTGGGATGTGGGCGCTTGGGGTGCTGGTGTTTGGAGGCCTCCCCTCCTCCCCAGCACCCACAGCCCCTCGCTGCATGCAGGTCGGTGGTCGGTGTCTTCCTGTGCGGGCCGGGGGCGTTGGCAAAGGACCTGCAGAGATCTTGTCAGCAGCACTCCAGCCTGGACCCCAGAAAGGTCAAATTCTACTTCAACAAGGAGAACTTCTAAGTGGAGCTGGGCTGGGACCGCAGCCATTGGAGAACAGACAGCCTGCTGCTCTTGCATCTTTTTGGAGCGAGTCTGCCTGACCGGGGACGAGCATCAGCTGAAAAACACACGCACTGAAACCAGGCAAGACAGCAAGGTCCTCCCTCACAAGGAGAAACTCCAGGTTCCAGGACTGCTGCCTTCTTGACCCAACCTACAAAGGGTTCCTGTGAGGGGAACGAGCCCAGCGCACAGCACAGCCCACGAGGAAACCAGAGACACGTTGTGATGGTGGCACTGGGGCAGCACAAAGGCTCACACACCAGCCAGAGGCAGGGGGAGTGCCCAGCGGGCTGGGCAGAGCGGGTGGGAGATGGACACGCCAAGCAGGCACCGGGGATTACACCTGCCCCTCGGGGTTTAAACAGTCCTTTCCCTACACTGGTAAATTAAACTTGCTTTTCCTTTGCAGTAAAAGCCACGTGTGGTGGCTCAGTCTGTGCGGGTAAAGGTGAGCAAAGAGTGGGTGCCCTTCATACAGGGCTGCCGTAAAAAGGCCGGGTTTGTAATAAACCTTATGGGGTAAAGTGTAGGATGTTGGGGCTGCCTGCCTGCTGGCTCCCTTCCTCCACAGGGGCTGAGCAGTACCAGCGAGCCAAGCTTGCACCATCCACAAACCAGTGCAGGCAGACTTTAAATGCAAGGGCAAATTCTGCTCAAGCACATGCAGAGAGGAGGGAAAAAGCACCCTCGTGGAGCAGGCAGGTATGGTAAGCGATACAGCAATCGGATATGGAGCCCTCCTGCCCTTACTGGAGGGAACAGAAAGCTGAGCTCTGCAGCAGGGTGCTTCAGCCCGTGCCACTGGGACACTCACTGCTCTGTCCTTGGGCCCACGGGCTGCCTTCATCAGCCAGACACCTCCTCCCTGCAGTCTGCTTGCCTGGTTCGATGGCAAGTCATCTTCCAGCAGGGAAACACAATGAGACAGTACCTTTGCTGCAACGCGAGCAAGAAGCCCTCAGGAAGGCAGATGGAATTTGCCTCCAGCACTTATTACCCACTGCCTGGTCTCCCATCAGTCTCCCCAGGTGACAACTTCAGCTTCCTGCAGGCTGATGTTTTCTACCATATTCCTAGCAAACATATAATAAATCCCAAGGGTATTTCTGGCCCTATTGCTGGGAAAAGAGTGGTCTGGACTAGCCTGGAGCCAGGTCAGACTGTTCCCAGCAGTCCTCCCCTTGCCTCCATGACCATACAAGGCAGCCTGAGACATGGCTTTACTCAAACCCTCCTCCCACTTTATTCCAAACATCATAAAATATACACACAGAAAAAGGGACGAATGAGAGGGAAAACACTGGGTAGCAAAGAGGAACGTCTCCGAAAACGCAGCATCAACTTGGACAACAACAGGAAGCAGCCGCCATGGAGCACCTTCCATGTCCAGGCAGACGGCATCTCCACCACACACCTGCCAGGCCTGCAAGAAGGAGAGGGATGGGCGTGAGCCGTCGCACAGAGGGGAAAGGCAGGGCAGCCCCATACTGAGCAGCTCCCTGATTTACTGAAGGAGAGCAGGCATAGGCTGCAGCAGGATTAAGGATGTTACCTGTTAGGGTGCCCCCGTGGATTTCTGGATTTGCTCCTTTAGAATAAGGATGCTTTGCCGCTGCTCTGGGGGCAGCATGGCGATCTGGTCTGCTGTCAGCTGCAGAACCTGCATGATCAGGGCTGCCTGTGGGGAGAAGGGAGAATCAGAGGTGCTCTGCCTGAGCAGCTATGGGTTACCATAGCCAGGAGGTGGATGCTGGAAGGACAGAGTTTCCTCTGCAGCAGGACCTGCAAGTTGCCCAGGCTCCGAGCAGAGCAGGGCAAAATAACCACCTGCTCTAAATGTGGCAGGATTGGCACCTCTGGAGCACAAACTCCCTGAGGCACGGCGGTCCTCTGATGTGGTAAGGCACGCAGAAAGTGCTGTCCCCAGTGTCTCATCCCTTCCCAACTGCCCACTCACCTTCTCATGATCCTGGGGGGTGACCTGGCTCTGTCCAGGACTAAAGCCTCCCGGCTGACCAGCTCCCTGGACCCCTGCTCCAGGAATGCCTCCTCCTTGCATGCCTGCCCCTGCCATGTTAGGAACCTGTGGGCACAAGATAACGGCTGAGGGGTCTCTGGACTCAGCTAAACAACTACAAGAACACAGAGGAAACAATCAGACAGATGCCCACACAGCCAGCCCCAACCCGTGAGACGCTGCAGGTGCCCCATCAGCCAAGCAGAGGTGTTGCAGTACCTGGCGGGGCCCCTGTGGGCCACTGGCTCCCATGTTAAGCGGTCCAGGACCCTGGATCCCCCCAGGCATCGGGCCACGTGGGTTGGGACCAGGCCCGCGAGGCTCCAGGCCACGGGGCTCCATGACCCTGGCCTCCATGGCCCTGGCTTCCAGCACTCGTGGCTCCAGGACCCGCGGCTCCAGGCCTCGTGCCTCCAGGCCTCGCGCCTCCATCACCCGGGGCTCCAGCCCCCGTGGCTCCAATCCTCGCGGCTCCAGCCCTCGGGGATCCCTTCCAACTGCAGGGGAAAGACAAGGCAAGCTGTAGAAAGGAGCAGCGTTGGGGGAGGTGGGGTGGGAGTGAGCCCGCTGCCTCCTCAGCCAGGGGGTTTAGCAAATGCCAGGAAGATGCAGGGCCAGGGACAAAGGAAACATGCCTGGAGGAAGTCCCTTGCTCTGTGGGACTCTTCCTCCTTGCCTTGGGGTCATTTCACTGCCCAAATTCCCTTCCTATGTCCTGCGTTGAGGCAGCGGGCTCTGCTCTGCCCCCTCAGCTGTTTGCTTTCAGCCACCCGTTATTTCATGCCCCCTCTCTCACCTCGAGCATCCATCAAGGGCCCCCGCGGCTCTCCCATCAGTGGTCGGGGTTCTCCCATGGGTCCCCCCCTCATCTCATGGGGGGGGCCACGGCTGTCGTGGCCCGGCATGTGGTGCATAGGGGCTCCTTGGTGGGGCGGCCCAAGGTAACCTCTGGCGCAGAGAGACGAGGAGAGCAAAGCAGGAGGAAGAGAAAAAGCGAGAGTGTGAATCAGACACTGGCTTGGCACGGTCTGGGCACAGCGCTGGATTGCTCCCAAAGCCGGCCGCAGGGGAGGAGGGCGAGGCTGACACAGGGACGAGTGCTGTCAGTCCCATGTCACAGGGCTGCTGGCATCACCCTGGGGATGCCCCATCCCCGGGGAAAGGGGGCTGGCCCCTGTGGTCAGCAGCACACAGGCCTCCGAGCGGGCAGCTGTGACTCCCGGAAGGCTCATGCCATCCCTGTCCTCAGCAAGAGGTCACCCTTGGGCAGGGGGCAGTGCGAAGGGCTCTTCTCCTTCCCTCTCCCCTCACCTGGGCTCCACTTCTCCAGTGACTGAGAGCAGCGTCCCTCCGCGAGGGTCATTCGGGGCATCTCCCAAAAGGCCTCGCGGCGGCGGGCCACTAGCAGGTAGAGGTCCACGCTGCATGGGGGCCCTCGGATCTGGCATGGGCACTGCCAGGAAGACACACAAGAACTTGTGAGGATCTGCACAACCAGTGCTCTGATCAGACTGTCCCCCAGCACCCTCGGGGCTGGGATATGGACAGCCTCCCTGCTCCCCAGCACAGGCAGACGTGCTGTATGGACTGCCAGGGGAGCAGCCCCTCGCACAAGGCCAGAGCCCTTTCCCTAGGTGCTCAAAACCCCTTTCCCTAGGTGCTTGTTTCATCCCTCTCTTTCCCTCTCTGGTTCTACCTCAGGCTCCTTACAGCACCAAGTGGCCAAACTGAGTGTGGGTGCCCCCGTGGTGATCCCTACGAGTGAGGGCATCAACGCCGTGCTGATGTGGGGCCAGGAGCAAAGCAAGACTTGGAAGGCTCCTGGCAGTAAGGTGTCAGAGGGGGCTGGATCCTAGGTGAAGACCTTCTCCAAGCAGGCTCTCTTTTCCACTGGTGTCTCTCCATGCACAGCACTAGTGCGTTCTCTGCCCCTGGAGAAGATCCTGCCTCCTCCTAACTCTGCCAGACTACACAGAAGGGTATGCCAGTCCCCGGCCCTCAGCACAGCGGGGTGACAGCTGCTCTCTGCACACCCCATAATGAGCTCCACAACAGCAGGGAGCTGGCAAGTGCCGGGATACCTTGAACGCGTTCGATAGACGCAGGCCTGGCAGGTCCCACGGGCGAAAGCTGAAGGTTCCCTGGGCAAGCAGCAGGAAAAGAGGGAGAAGAGCAGACACGTAAATAGTGTATGCACACATGCACTCAGCCTCGGGGACAGCGCTGCCTCAGCCTGCGGTGGCCTCTGCTCCCTGGCGTCCCCCAGGACGCCTATCTAGAAGATGTTGCCTGATGCCCATCTGGCTGTATCAGCCACTTCCACTAACGCCACTGCTGTCATTGTGGGCACGGCAGCCAGCTCGGCAGCATGCCGGACTGGGCACAGCTTTCCCTCGCTCACCATGTGAGCACACAGGACAGGAGAACGAAGCGCCCTGCCAAGAGAGATCAGCATGCTGCAGGGCCACGCTGTGCCCCACAGCGCAGTGAGTCAGCTCCTGCCCACAGCTCCCCACGGCGCTCCTCAGCACCAGCTTTCTGCCTGCTCTTCGAAACCTTCTGGGTATCAGCAAAACTGCCAGGAATTACAGGACTGCTCTCATGAAGATTGTGCTCGCCCCGCGAAAAACGACAGGCAGCTGCCCTAAAGATATCTAAGGCTGGAGGATCTCAGAACAGGTTCGCCACCTTCCTGAAACAAGGCCTAAGATACAAATCTAGGCGAGAGGTGTTCGCTCCCTGCATGCCTTACTACTGGAAGAACAGGAACGCCTTGCCTTGTTTGCGCTACCCTCGGCACATGGCTTGATGGGGCAGCCACGCAATTTGTGGAACGGAAAGGAATCCGGCTCCAGGGCTGGGCTGCACAGACCGTGCCTGCAGAGGGAGGGAGGGAGGAAGGGCCAAGCAACTGCTCGCTGCAAAATTCCCTGCCAAGCCTTGCACTCACTATCACAAGCAAAAGCAAAGACTCAGCTCCCTCTGCTGGGCACGGCACGGAGAGCACAGGGAGACACGGGCAGACACCGCGGCAGCACAGCTGCTTCCCAGCACCCAGGCAGCAAAGAAGGACAGGGACTGGAGAAGAGCAAGCTCTGCCTGCCTGCACAAGCACAGGGACAGATGCGGGCTCAAAGAGAGACAGAAAACACAGGCACAACCCACCCTCTGGGGCTCTGTGGGGACTGGCAGCTCTCCTGGTTTCCAGGACATGTCTGCACAACAGCAGTGCAAAACAACCTGGGAACAAACTGGTGCATGGGCTGGAGCCCTGGAAGCAGGAGAGCCGTTACCACAGCCTTGCGCCTAAGCGAACAAACCCAGACGTGGCCCAGTGCTACAGGAGCTGCCCCACCTCCAAACAAGGCTGCAGGCAGGGGCTCTCCTGGTGCAGCACTGCTCAGTACCTGTAGCCTGGGCCCCTGCTGGAGCGAGGCTCTCATGACACACAGCAAGAACTTAGCCTCTGTTTTACCTTGTCCACGCTCCAAGGGCACAGGCCCTCCTCCTGGTATCCCGACCTGCGGCTGCAGCCCACCTGAGAGGGAAAAGGCACAGGTCAGATCCCTCCCTGGCTGTCCCGGCACAGCCGACCAATTCCTTTGGCCCCAAATACCTACCCCCTCCCAGATCCTGGGGTAGCATCCGGAAGCTTATTTTCTTGCTGTTGGTTCCCCACGGAGATAAGCCAACTTTCTGACCTGCTGCTGGCAGCAGCCACAACCACAGTCCACAGCCACGGGAGGACAAATGCTCCCACGGGGCCAAGCCCTCCGGTCACGGGAAGGTACAGGGGGGCCGTCTGCAGGACCCGCCTGCCCGGGGCAGCCCAGGCACCGTTCAGCCCAACACCACGCACTCACCTCCTGGAGCCATGGGGCCAGGGCCAGGGCCCTGCACAGCAGCTGCCATCTGTCCTGGTGCTGGCACTCCTCCCTGCATAGGCGGCTGCATCAGAGGGGGAGCGCCGTTGACGTGCATGCCACCCTGCCCGGGAGAGAAACCAGGCCTCAGCAAAGCCCTGTCACCCAGGCACACGCAGCCCAGCTGGGAAAGCCAGTGCTGGCAATGCCTGTCACTTCCAGCATGGTAAATGCATCTCTGAGGCTCTTACTATGGGCTGAGGCTGGGACGATGGGGTATTCTGGGGGTTCAGCTGGGCATTCGGCCCCGGCCCTGGTCCCGGCCCAGGTCCTGGCACTGGCTGCTGGTTGCCTGGGATCAGAGGAGGAACACTGGTCTGGCGATGCAGGATTTTCTAGGAGCAGAAGGAGGAAAAAAGGAGTCTTCTTCCACCCCCTGCAACAGGCTACCACCAATATCCTACCGGCCCCAGAAGAGGCAGCAAGGGACAAACCAGAGCGATCTCCGGGTCGACGATCCTCATTACCACCTGGGCCTGCAGCAGGGCATAAGCCAGCTGGGGGTTCTGCAGCAGCATGTTCCTGGCTTCCTGGGGGCTGTTCTGGACGCACAACTGAGGATACACACACACAGATCACAGCTCTGACAAGGCACGACATAGGTCGTGAGGGCATGGGCAGCTGTGATAGAAGGTGCTGAGCTCAGGCAGAACACAGGGAGCACAGCCCTCCCCTTCACTCACCTTCATCTGCTTCATCAGCTCAAACATCTGCTCGGGTGGCAGGCTGGCAACCGCTCGGCTGATGGACTCAGGAGCATCTTCAGGATTGACAGGGTCCCCATAGGGTGACTCTATGATGGGTGCACCGGTACCCAAGCCTGCAACACAGTTTGGGATAGAAGCTGTGACCTCATACAACAACATGAACTATCTTTAACTGTCTGCTCACCAGAAGGGAAGTGCCATGCCATTAAGAAGAGGCAACAAAAACAAGCTGAACATGTGGGAGACAGAAAACCCAGCTCAGCCCCAGCACCCCTCTGGCAAAGCTGCTTGCTGTGTTGCTTGGAGCATGTCGGCTCCACCAGGCTCCCCCTTCACCAGACCCACAGAACAGGCACCCACTGTAACACCAAAAAGGCCAGAGCCAGCGCAACATCATTTCTCTCCGCTACCAAATTGAGACTCACTCTTCAGCTCCTCCTTGTTCTTCTCGCTGGCCGCGTTGTCGACACGCAGGGCCCTCCCGCTGAACTCTCGCCCGTTGAGGTTCCGCATGGCGCTGAGGGCCGTCTCCTGATCCTGGTACTCACAGAAGCCATAGCCCTTCGGCTTTCCCGTCTCCCTGTCATACACCAACCTGCAGAGCAAGGGGGAGAGAAGCGTCAGCACTACGGGTGGCACAGACACAGAGCCCAGCTGTCAGGATAGGCCAAGCAGGAGCCCTGGGAGCAGCATAAAGGTGCCTGGGACAGCTCAGGGTGTGTGCCAGCAGGCCCTCAGCCCGACCCACAACACCTCCTGTGTGCAGGCCCATGGGTGCTGCCAGGACAGCCCCCAGCTGCAGTGCTGTGCCTCCCAGGGCACCTCCCGCTCCCTGCCTGTTCCTGCGGGGCCCCAGCTGCCCCCGAGCCCCTCATTCACAGCCGTTTGCAGCCCAGACCCCCCCAGCGCCTCACCTGAAGCTGACCACGGGCCCGACCTCGGAGAAGATGTCCTTCAGCTGCTCCTCGGTGGCCTCGTACGGGATGTTCCCCACTGCGGACAGAGACACAGAGACACTGCCGCTCAGCCCCGGCACCCCCCTCACACCTCCCCGTGGCTCCCCGGGCAGCCGAGGGCCCAGCCCCACCACCCCTCACCGAACACGGAGCGCAGGGAGCGGTCCACGGCCGGGTCCCGCACCGCCAGCCCCGCCATGCCGCCCGCACAGCGCCGCCCCCCGCTTCCGCCGGGCCCCAAGGAGGAGGCGGTGGCGGCGGCGCCGTGCTCCGGGAAGGCGCTCCGGGGAGAAACGGAGCCCGGCCACAGCGCGGTCCCCCCGCTGCCCACACACCCCCTAGGCGCTGGATGCCCCCTCATGCCCCCCGTGTAGGCTCCACGGGGTCTCTCGGGTCCCACAGGCGCTGTCCCCACGTCCCGCTGCCCCCATGGCCGCCCTGGAGCGAGGTGGCTCCGTCCTGGCGCTGGTCACGGAGCCGCGCTTCGCACAGCGGCTGAGGTGAGCACACAAGGCTCAGACCGCTCAGGGTGGCCCTGAGCATCAAAGCCTCTTCTGTGCCCCATGAGGGAGAGGTGCTTGAGGTGGCCTCGGCCTTGCAGGCGGTATTTGGAAGAGGAGCAGCTGCTGGATGCGCGGTACCGGCTGCAGGAGGTGGCGGGGGGCAGCGTGGCCCTGCCGGTGCTGGAGGTGGCAGAGCAGCGGCTGCGGGAGCTGCAGGAGAGCGGGGCCCTGGAGCTGCCCTGCAGCCTGCTCCGCATCCAGGTGGGTGCTGCCGCACACGGGCTCAGGCAGCTGGTGGTAGCAGGTGAAGGATTTGTGGCATTTCTACTTGTCCACGTCCCACCCGCAGAGCCCCATCCCCTCCAAGGCAGCCAGCGTGCGGACGCCTGCCCAGAAGCTGCGCAGAGAGCTGCGAAGGATGGTGCTGGGCTTGGGAGAGAGCTGGTCGGAGGAGCTGGAGCACGACGTGCCCCGCTCGTGGCAGCGCCACGGAGACCTGGTCCTGCTGAGCGAGGACAGCTTCAGCGCTGCGCTGTGGATGAAGCTGGGTAAGGGGAGCAAAGCTTGCTCATGTGGCTGCGGCTCACAGAGCTGCCTGGCCTCTCCCAGCACGGCTGTGTTGCAGGCCCAGCGCTCTGGGAGACGGTTGCCTCCGCTCTGGGTGCCCAGCGCCTGGCCAGGCGAGGACGGGTGCTGCCAGGAGGGATGCGGTCCCCGAGTGTCACCCTGCTGCTGGGCCAGGACGGCTGGGTGGAGCACGTGGACAATGGCATCAGGTAGGCAGGAGCGTGCTGCAGTGTGTTGCATCGGCTCCGGGGAAGGGGCTGCTCTCAGCAGGCTGGTGGTGTCCCCGTAGGTATACATTCGACGTGACCAAGTGCATGTTCTCCCCGGGCAATATCACGGAGAAGCTGCGGGTGGCCTCAGCTGCCGTGCGCTGGGGAGGTCCTGGTGGATCTCTATGCAGGTACCAGCCCTTGGGGACAGCAGGGAAGTTCAGGCAAGGCAGGCTGGCAGGGGAGAGCAGGCAGAGAGTGGTGATGCAGGTATTGATAGCATCCAGATGGAGATGAACCATCACGAATTCTGGATTGAAAAATGACCTGGAGTGGAAAAATACTCTGGGATGTGGCTTAGAGCTCCTGCCCCATCTGGAAGCCCTTGGGTGACCTGGCACTGTGGTCTCTTCAGTGTCCCTATTGCCTTTGGACACTTCAGCTGACCTTGTGCTCAGGCTCCACAGAGTGCTGCTCTGTAGTTAGTGCTGGTCAGAGGAACCGTTTGCATCCAGGGAGAAGATTTGCCCTCTTTTTGAACCATGGATGTTGTTTATGAAAAGCTCCCATTGATGATCTGACTGTATTGAGTGCGATGTGCTTCTATGACAAGCTGGTGATAACTGAAGTGTGCAGATGGTGTGACTGTTCCTGTGCTGTAAGGTGACGGGGGATGTTGTGTCAGACTTCTGTGCGTGTGAAGAGCTGTGTTTTGTACTTAGGGAAGTTAGTGTTTCCAGTCTGTCTCACAGAGAAAGGATGTGGTGCTCACAAAGCTGCTCTTGGTTAATTAAAATAAATGTTGGTCTTGACACTTTTTGCATAGGCTGGAAACAGAGCAGGACAGGGTAGGTCTCGAACCAGTGGGTAAAGACTGAACATAAAATAAGTTCCTCTGTAAACATTTTTCAAGATGAATTTTGCTTTTACAAGGATGAGGGAGAAACAAAATTCCATTTTGTGAGCATTTCCCCAGTGTGTAGTTTTGTTCCAACCCAAGAAGCAGACACATAGAGCCGGGGCAGTCATCTGCATCCTGACCTGCCTCCAGGGAAGAGTGCAGAGCTCAGGAGACACCTGCACCGTGCCCACTGCTGCTGCAACCTCTTCTGCCCCCCAGGGATCGGCTATTTCACACTGCCCTACCTGGTTCATGCAGCGGCTGCCTTCGCCCACGCCTGTGAGTGGAACCACCATGCCGTGGAGGCCCTGCGGAGGAACCTGGCACTGAACGGCGTGCAGGACCGCTGCCACATCCACCACGGGGACAACAGGCAGGTGAGCAGCACCCCCTGGACATGGTATCCTTCTCCTTTGTGGTCCCTGCTCACCACCCTTCTCTTCCCAGCTGCAGCTGCAGGACGTAGCTGACCGGGTGAACCTGGGGCTGATCCCCAGTTCTGAGGAGGGCTGGCCGGTGGCCTGCCGTGTCCTGAAGAAGGGCACAGGAGGCATTCTCCACATCCACCACAACGTGGAGGCTGTCCCTGCATCATCCTGCCTGCAGCCTGCGGTTCCAAGGAATGAGCAGAGACCTCCAGGGGACAGCAGCTCTGGAGAATGGGAGGATGGACAGCGGGAGATGCAGAGCCCCAAGGAGACTGAAGGCAGTGGGAAGGAGATGCCAGCATCCAGGGTCAGGCCAGAGTGGCAGAGGTGGGCTGAGGCTGCTGCAGCACGGATACAGGGGCTGCTGGAAGAGCTGCACGGGCAGCCGTGGCGGACCAGCATCCTGCACATTGAGGCAGTGAAATCCTACGCACCACACGTGCATCACATCGTGCTGGACCTCGAGTGCCGTCCAGTACTGCCTGCCTAGCTGGCTGTGGGGCCTTGGCGTGGCCCAAGGGCATGTGAAACAGTGGTGGCAGTGTTGGTGGCAGGGAGATGTGATGGTTGTCTCCAGAGTGCCAGCTCAGGACAAGCAACACAAGCTCAGGCCAAGCAGTGAGCTGGGTCCCTTGCCATCCCTGCCCCTCACAAGCTTTGTTAGGCAGGAGCTGCACAGGACAGGAGCTGTGTCACAGCTGAGGGTAGGGCTGAGCTGGGGCTGAGTGCACTCGAATCCTATCCTAGCTCTACCTGTTGCTGCAGGAGCATCACACTGGAAGCTGTAGCTTTTGCTTTGGACACATGGGGCACTTTCAGCCCCATTTTCACAAGGAAGAGAGCTGCAGGACCAAATAAACCTCAGCATTCATGCTGGGCTTTGTTTCAGTGCATCAGGTACAGACTCTATCTATCTTTAACAGCATGCTTTTTTTTTTTTTTTTTACTGAAAACAAGTTTGTTCATTTCAGTTTCTTCTTACTTTTTTTGTTTGTTTGTTTGTTTTCAGAAATAAAAATGCGTCCCACATCCCTAGCTGGTGTCCAGTTAAAATGCAAACATGGGTGCAAGTGGGGGGCCCTGCCTGGTGATGCTACCACCTCTACCACCGCCCCTTTATGGTGCAGGGCAAGAAGCTGTGTCCCCACGGATCCAACCCCGCTCCTTGCTGTGCCCCATCTGCTCCCAGTTACACCAGTGGGTCCAGGAGCCACGGTGGCCCTACTGGCCGCCTGCCAGAGCACCCATTCCCATGCAGCCCCGTGCCGGAACGAGGGGATGCAGGGGGGCCAGGAGCCGTGCCAGCCGCTCCTCCCCGTCCCTCACCCACCCCCCCCAGAGCCCAGCCGGCGGCTTTATGGCTGCGTGTGTGTGCTCTTGGGGAGGAGCCGCCTTTCCGACGGCACTGCGAGCAGGCACGCCTGCAAACACCGGGGCGAAGCGGGGCGGCTCTGCCCAGCCCTGCCGGAGCTTTGGGGCACGGCAGCGACCAGAGGAGCGCAGCCCCTGCACCGTGCGTCCCGGGACCGGGGCTGGGAACCGGGGACAGCCCGGGGACAGCTCGGGGACAGCCCGGCGAGGCGAGGGGCGGGCAGCCGGGGGCCGCCCCCCGGGGCCGGGCCGGGCGGGGCCGCGCAGGTGCCTGGGGAGGTTGGGGCCGCCCCCGCTGCCGGGACCCGCAACAGGTACCGGGGGGGGCACCGGGGGTGAGCGACGTGGGGCCTGGGCCGGGGGGGTCGCAGCTCCTGGAAGTGCGAGCGGGTAAGAGGGGCGGCTTTCCCGGGGGGCTGCACACCGCTGGTAGCACCCCCTGGCCCCGCTTTCCCTTTTCTCCATCCCCTAAATCTCCAGCTTGGCTTTCGCTCCCCTGCTGAAAGCCCTGAGCTGGGGGGGGTCCGGGCTGCGGGGAGCAGCCCCGCCGGGCCGGCTCCGAGCCGTAGAGCCGCGGAACTCGTTCTGCCCGGCCAGCCGGGGCCGGAGGCGCTGGGCGGAGAGCTGGGAGCAGCAGGCGGCCCGGCACGGCACGGCCCGGCACGGCCCTGCCCTGCAGACGGGCTGCAAACCGCGCCCGGGCGCTGCGCTGCGCTCTGCTGCCCGCACGGGGCTTGCTCGGCTTCGGGGTCTCCAGGAGGGGTCCCGCTGCTGCGGCTCTTCTCCCCGCATTTCCACGCTCCGGCTGCTTTGCTCGGGGAGGTGGCAAACAGCTTTTCACTCTGCTGCTCTGCTTGTGCGTGGGGTGTGGGTCACAGCCCCTGCGCTCCGTCCTTCCCTGTCCCAGGGTGCTGGGTGCAGGTGGGGATCACAGGGGGTGAGCTGGAGGCTCCAGAGCCGTGCCCTGCGTGGTCAAGCAGGAGGGTGATGTGGGCTGGGGGTGTCAGCTGGTTTGGGGACCCCACAGTGTGCCCATCGGGGCTGGCCTCCAGCCCAGGGATGGCAGCGAGTCCTGCCCATGCCACGTGGGGTTGGGGTGTGACCCCGCGGTGTGGTTTGCTTTGTCCCAGCACAGACGCATCCAGCTCCTTCTGGCAAGGGCGAGCGATTTCTGGGCCAGGTGATGTCGGAGGCTGTGGACCTGTCCTTCCTGTCGGATGTCGAGAAGGATTTGATCCTGCAGGTCCTGCAGCGCGATGAGGAGCTCCGTAAAGCAGAGGAGAGGAGAATCAGGTGGGGATGCGTCTGGGCAGGCAGGGTTCACCCAGGGGGTGGCTGGAGGGGCGAGGACTGGGGCTGGCTGGGAGCTTTGTGCTGGTCTCGGGGTCCTCCTGCAGCTCTGACTCTCCTGGTTTGAGCAGGCGCCTGAAGAATGAGCTGCTGGAGATCCGGCGCAAGGGGGCCAAGCGGAGCAGCCAGCGCTACAGCGAGCGGACCTGTGCCCGCTGCCAGCAGAGCCTGGGCCGCATCAGCCCCAAGGCCAACACCTGCCGGGGCTGCAACCACTTGGTGTGCCGGGAGTGCCGATCCTATGGCCCCAACAGCTCCTGGCGCTGCAAAGTCTGCACCAAGGAGGCGTGAGTACCCAGGGACCGACTGGCATGGACCTTCCGTGTGCTGCTCTGTCCCCTTCCTCTGCTCAGTCACCCCAACTTGATGCCCCTTGGCCACCTTCTGTAGTTGGGCTCTCAGCCTGGACTTCTCCACCACAGGGCAGCTGTCTGTTGTAGCTTCCCCAGGCTGCTCAAGGTGGGCAACCTTGGTTGGGCAATCAAGAACTGGGCCATGCCCATGCTCTTGGGTCTCCTTTGTGTCCACCCTGCTCCTTTCCCCCCTTTATGTGACTCCAACCTGTGTTCATTCAGGCAGCCCACTTTTCTCGCTCTCCTTTGCTTCACCTGCCATACAGACCCCCCCCTCACTCATGTGTTTCTGATGGTGCAGCTGGCCCATCATTTGCCCAGGGCACAGTCTCTGCTCAGCCTCCTGCTGGGTTTGCTCCTCTTGGCTGGTTCCCCAGCACCATGGGCATTTGAAGGGGGCGGTGGGATGCAGGGAACGGCCCCTCATTGCCCCTCTGCCCTGCAGGGAGCTGAAGAAGACAACAGGGGACTGGTTCTACGACCAGAGGGTCAACCGCTTCGCCAACAGGCTGGGCAGTGACATCGTGCGGCTGTCTCTGCGGCACAAGTCTGCAGGTAGGGTGAGGTAGTGCTGTGCCACCAGGTGTTGGAGCGATGCCTTCTTCCCCAGCCTGTCCCTCCAGGATGCTCCAGCTTTTCCTGGCCTGTGCCCAGATTGGGGTTGGCCAGGAAGAGCCTCTCTTCGAGGCTGTGGGCTTCTGTGCTGGGGAATGAGCCTCTCCTGAGTCCTCTCTGCTTTCAGCCAGCAAGAGGGAGACCGTGGGACAAACCCTCCTCCAGAAAGCACAGCTCGGTGATCCCAAGAACATCTCTGCACCCCGGCAGAAGAGCCCCCAGGAGCCGCGGAAGGCCCACAGGTGAGGAAGAGCTGTTCTGAGGACCCTGTATTTGGGGAGGGGTCACCGATAGCCCATCTGGGTGCAGGGGAGACAGCTGTGGGGACGAGAGAGAAGCTGCCACCCTGCTCTGAAGGTCTCTCTCAGACCAGCTTCCTTGCCAAACGGGATGTACCTGTGGTTTCGTTTGTCTGCAGTTTGTTTCCTGATGCCTCAGACCCTCGGGATGGCAAGAGTGACACAGAGTCCATGGAAAACATGAGCCTGGATGGCTACAGACCTGGTCCTGGTGCTGCTGGGGGCAGGTAAGGGCAAGGCTGGGACTGGTTGTCCGTGGCAGTGCTGGCCTGGCAGAGAACGAGGACCTGCATCTGAAGGCTGTCTTTGTCTGTGCGCTGCCTTGGCTTGGGGAGGGAGATGCTGGCTCTTCTTGCCAGCCCAAAACCTCGCACTGGGCAGACAGATCCTCTGCTCCCCGCACTGTTCCAGGCTTGTTCAGTGCAGCTCTTCGGAGCTTGTGGTGAGAGCAGTTCCCAGCCAAAACTTGGCTTCCTGGCCGTGCTTCTTTTGGCTGAGGTGCCGGCCCGAGACAGACCTTTTCTGTGTCCTCTGCAGGAGAAACTCTCTGGAGAAAGCTGCTGTTGTCAAAGAGGGCAAACAGGTTGCTGCACCAGCAGGACCCGCGGTGGCCAGCCTGACCCTCCCTCTCCCCTCCAGAAGCGTGCTTTCTGCCTCCAATGGACGGGTGAGCGCCGCTGCTCTGCCGGGGCTCAGGGCTGGGAGCCCTGCGGTGCCCCCTTTGCCCTGCTCTGCACTGGGCTTCTCCCTCCTAGGAGGCTCCCGTGGGAAGCCGCAGCAGCGTGTTGGTGGATGAGCATGAAGCCTTATTCAAGAAGAACCCCCGGCGGGTGGTGAGACCGGCGGGTGAGAGCTGTGTGGAGCCCGGGGAGGCTTTGGTGTGGGTGCATGAGGTCTGGGCAGCTCCTCGCGGTGATGGAGCTGCAGGGCTGTGCTAATCCCACAGCCTTTTTGTCTTATCTCCCCATCTCCCGTGCAGATTACACCAAGTCGGTGATTGACCTGCGCCCAGAAGACTTTGTGGGTGAGGGCAGCACCCTGGGAGACAGGAGCAAGTCGGTCCCTGGCCTCAACACGGAGCTGGTGAGACCCACAGTGGTGATGGTGCTGGCTGAGGAGTGGAGCTGGCTGCACTGCTTATGTGCACGTGCCTCCCTGCTGCTCCCCATGCAGACGGTCTCTCTCTCACTGCAGGATGAGGAGGAGGAGGACATCGATAACCTGGTGGAGATCCATCGCCAGAGGGTGGCCCGGGGCAGCATGCGCAGCGGCACCTCCTCGGTGAGTCCCGCGGCTTGGCTGTGCCCTGTAAAATGGGGGAGCTCCCCGCTGTTTCCCAGGGAGCCTGCCTCTTAGTGGGGCACTCAGTGACCGTCCCCAGCCAGGAAGGGCTGGTCTTGGGCTAGGAGAGGGGCTGTGTGGCAGAGCTGTCAAGAATCCCCTTGCTGAGCACAAACAGGGGATGGTGAGGCTGCCCAGCTCAGGCCAGCTGTGCCTTCCAGAGCACGCTGGGGAGCATGGTCAGCATCTACAGTGAGGCCGGCGACTTCGGGAACATCACAGTCACCGGGGGCATCTCCTTCTCCCTGAGCTACGAGCTGAAAACGCAGACCTTGTTCATCCACGTGAAGGAGTGTCGCCAGCTGGCCTATGGGGACGAGGCGAAGAAGCGCTCCAACCCGTGAGTGCCGGGAGGGAAAAAGTGGCAGCGAGCTGGGGAGGGACAGGCTGGTGGTGCTGCAGGGACCCGTGGCTCTGCTGGTGGTGCTCAGCAGGGTGTGGGGTGCCCATGGGAGATGGGAGCTAGTAAGTGGGGGTTCTCACCTGCTTCTCCCCTCAGGTATGTGAAAACCTACCTGCTGCCTGACAAATCCCGGCAAGGGAAGCGCAAGACGACCATCAAACGCAACACCGTGAACCCCCTGTACAACTGAGCTGCTGAAGGTGAGCGGGGATGGGCTGGGGGCAACCAGGTCCCCTTCGCTGGGGGCCAGGCAGGTGCTCAGCCCCTGGGGATGCGGCTTGAACAGTACCGCGACAAAGGGTTCAGGGGTTCTCCTCTGCTGTGATTCTGCTTTCCTAGCCCTGGCAAAAAGGGGAGCCCTGAGGGGGAGTGGGCTTCCAAACCCTGACAGTGGAGGCTTGGTGGGGGGTGTTCTGCATCCGGACATTGTGCCCTGAAAGCTGGGGAGAAAAAAAAAAAAGGAAAAAAAAAAAAAGGAAAAAAAAAAAAAAAACGCAAACATTTCCAGGCTGGGTCACTGCTGTAATATCACTGTGGTGTCTAGTCCTTGGGTGCTGTGGAGGCACATCTGTAGATGTGTGTGTGTCCTTCACAGCCAGCATTCCTGGCTCCTGCACCAGTCCCCCAGGGCAGAGGGTGCTTATCCATGGACGTGGCTTTCCCTTGGAGAAGGCTCCTTACCACCAGGGTATGGCAGCCTCGCTGTGCAAGCCGGAGGGCAGCACGGCTGCAGAGGCAGAGATAAGGCAGTTCTGGCCCCGGCAGCAGAAGCACTCAGCGCTGCCCTTTAGCTCCCGGTCCCTGCTGTGGCTGGCACAGGGCGGTGGGAAGGGCTGGCCCTTCCCTGAGCCCCGCTGAAAGGAGGCGGTGCGTCCCGGCACTCTCCGACAGGAAGGAAGTGGGAGCTGGAAAGCATGGTTTGGTTTCCAGGCTCTTGTGGCTCAGCTTGCCCCAGCCCCAGGTTTGCTGAGGTCTTGTGCTCTGACCACCTGAGGCTCGGTGGACTGGCAGAGCTCACCCTGTGGTGGGAAGGAGTGGGGTGGCTGGGTGCCACGAGCCCTGGATGCGCTCTGAGGGCTTTCCCCCCTCTGTTCTGGGGGAGCTCAGCACAGTCTGGGGGCTGCCGCCAGCTCACCTGTCTCTTTGCTGCCTCTCTTCCCAGTATGAGATCAACAAGTCCCTCCTGCTGGCAAGGACGCTGCAGTTTTCGGTCTGGCACCACGATCGTTTCGGCCGGAACACGTTCCTGGGGGAGGTGGAGATCCCCATGGACTCCTGGAACTTCGACAGCCACCTGGAGGAGTTTCTGCCCCTGCATGGCAAGGTACCTGCCGCAGCCCTCCTGTGTCATTCCTGCAGTGTGAGGATGGCCCTGAGCAGGGCAGAGGGGTGCAGGCGTCTTGGTCGAGCTCCTGAATGGCTTGTGCCAAAAGAAGTCTTTGGAGAAACAAAGACCCCAGGTCAGATAGCAGCGCTGTCATAGTGAAAAAGGCTGATCTAGGCTTAAGCCTGGCTTCTCTTTTCCTCAGTATATCCTGTGTGATGCAGTCAGATGTCTCTCTGCCCAGTCAGGTATTTTCATTCTGTTTGCTTGTTTGCTCCAAGACTGCAGATCTTCCTGCCTCCCTGCCCCAGTAAGGAAGGATGGGAGCCTAACTTCAGGGAAACAAATAGGGGAAACTGGGCTTGGCATCCTGTTGTGGGCTGCAGAACAGTGCAGTGAGAGGATGTTGTGCAGCTGGATGACAACAGCAGATGCTTTTGCTGTTGGGACTTAATCAGGAGCCTGGATCTCTTGATGAGCTCCCGATGCAGACTCAGCCCTTTGCATCACTGGGACTCAAGTGGCTGCTGAGCTAAAAGGGGTTTCCTAAAGGATGCGGTTAAAGCAGAATAATCCCAAAGGAGCTGCTCTCTTAGCCTGAGCTGGTGACTGCTGGAGAGGGCCTGTAGGCATTTATGCTGTGGTAACCTGGTCATTGCCTCTCTGCAGACTGGGGCAGATGCTGCTGGCCTCCACCAGTACAAGGGGGAGCTGGTTGTCTCCATGAAGTACATCCCATCCTCCAAGCACCCTGTGGCTGGCACTGGCAGAAAGGGTGAGTGCTGGAGCTCCACCATCTTCGTGTAACCTGGCGGTGTTCACTGCCCTCTACAACGTGCTGGGAATTCCCAGCTCCAGACACCTTGCACTCCTCTGGGAACCAGCCTGTGAGTGGGCAAGCTGGGTGGATTTGTTGGGTTGTGCAACTTGAGGTGTCTGAAATGCCTGTGAGCTGCTGGCTGCTGTGGGTCACAGCAGACCTGGCTGCCCTCAGGCTGCCTGAGCAGCTCCAGTGCTTTCCTGACACTGGACCACTGTCACCTAGTGCTGGTCCCTGGTCCAGACTGGACATTCAGGCCCCACATGGAGCTATTTGTCTCGGCAGTCAGGGCCAGCAAGGGAGGAGGAGGAGTTACCACCCTGGGATCTGTACCTGCCTCTGAGCTGAAAGTCCTTCTGCAGAACCTTTTGCGGGGGGAAGCAGTGGTGAAAGTTGGTTAAATCTTGCTCTGTTTTTTTTGTTTGTTTGTTTGTTTTTCCAGGCAAAACGGGAGAAGGTGGTGAGCTACAGGTCTGGATCAAAGAAGCCAAGAATCTCACAGCTGCCAAATCTGGGGGGACATCAGACAGCTTTGTGAAGGGGTGAGTGTGGGTACTGGAGCAGGAGGTTGGGGCAGATGGGTGAAAGCACTGCCCTCCCTGGCTGCCTCCCATGATACTTCCTGGACCTGGTGCTGAGATCCAGGGGAGGGAAGTCTCTTTATTAACTGCCCTGTGCTGGCTGTGCTTGTACCCTGAAAGTCGCTGTCTGCCCGTCTCTAGCAAGAGATGAGTTTTCAGTAGCGAACACGTTCCTGGGTTTGGGCCAGCTGAGAAGAGCTGCTCAGGGTCTGTGAGGCCCATGCCCGTTTGTCATGGCTGGAGGCAGCGCAGAGGGGTCCCCTGAGCTGGGGAGGTGCTTGTGCTCTTCCTGCAGGCTTGGCCCTTTTCCCAGCCTAGCAGGGCCATCTGCCAGGACTGGCTCCTCCAAAAGCTGCCATCAAATTGCCTTCCCTGAGGTCACCAAGCAGCCAGGCAGCTGTGACTTGGGCTACCTGTGGAGGTAGTTGCGTGTGTGTGTTGCTAACTCCAACGGGGCTGCTTCCCCCAGCTACCTCCTGCCACACAAAAACAAGGCCTCCAAGAGGAAGACGCCTGTGGTAAAGAAGACCCTGAACCCTCATTACAACCACACCTTCGTCTACAACGGCATCAACCCTGAGGATCTGCAGCACATCTGCCTGGAGCTGACTGTCTGGGACCGGGAGCCTCTGTCCAGCAACTGACTTCCTTGGAGGCGTCCGCCTGGGTGTGGGCAATGGTGAGGAGCCCTGGGGCTGTCGGGAGGAGCTGCAATCTGCAGAGGGGCGTGGGGGTGAGGAAGGCTGCTGTGGTGGTGTGAGAGGCCCTACAGAGCCTGTCACAGATTTAGGACCAGCACTTTTGCTGGGGGCTGCCTCTGCTGCAGGGAAGCCGCTCCTGCATGGAGGCTGTCTATAACCTCTGCCCATCTCCTTTTTCCAAGGCATGAGCAAGGGGCAGGCTGTGGACTGGATGGACTCCACGGGTGAGGAGCTGAACCTGTGGCAGAAGATGTGCCAGTACCCGGGCTCCTGGGCGGAGGGCACGCTCCAGCTCCGTTCCACCATGGCCAAGCTGAGGCCGTAGGCAGCAGCACAGGCAGCAGGCCTCACCCTGGGGCTGGCACGGCTGCTCTGGAGCTGCAGCACAGCCAAACTTAATTATTTTTCGCCTGTATTTTAATAAACATGACCTTCTCTAAACAGGCTTGGGCAGAAAATCATCTTGGCCTAGCTTCTCTTTAAAGGTTTTTGCATTTGTTGTAAGCTTTGGACCAAATTTCAGGCTGAACTGGAGTCCTGGTGGGCCCTCCCTTCTTTCCCCCAGGCACGCTGCTTTGAAACCACTTTGAGTGGTTGGGTTTCTTTATTCTTTTTTCTTCTTTTCCTCCTCCCACCCTCTCTGTTTCACAATCTGCTCCCTCTTTGTCTCCTCCACCCTCTTCCTAAAGGAAGTTGCTGGCACTGGGGCTCTGTGGTAGCGAGCAGCCCAGCTCGAGCCCCAGCAGTGGGGCTGGAGGGGAGCAGCAGTGGGGCCATGCTGGACAAGCTGTGCAGGGTCAGCAGCTGTGTGTGGGGCTGTGCATGGGGAAGGGTTGTGGGGATGTGGGGCAGCACAGCACAGCTTATTGGGGGCAGCTGCCCAGTCCCTGCATGAAGGATGAGTTTTCCCGTGCCTCTTTGGAATACTCTTTCTACCAGTGCTGATATTTTTTATACAAATTTATTAATTTCAAGTTTAATATTCTACTGCCAAAATAGTTCCCAGGAAGGGTGCCACAGTGCTGGGTGGAAGGGGAAGCAAGTGGTAGGGTGCAGATCACGAGCCTCGGGGGTACTCTGTGCACTGGATGTCTCTTACTGTCTGCTGAGCATGGGGACATGTGCTACTAATAAAGGCTTTCTGATGGTTCTGGCAGGAGCCTGGCATCAGTGCCTGGCCAGCAGGACTGAACCCAGGCAGGGAGGGAGAAGGTTTAAGTTGTGTATGAGGTGAGGACGGCCACGATGAGGGTGAAGCTGCTGTAATAGAGGCATTTGTAACATCGCCCTGCCTGCTCTTCCCTCCCCTCCCTCCTCTGCTCTGGCAGCTTTCCTAGGATTTGGGGCACTCACATGTCCACAGTCTGTCCTCCCGCTGGGTTCCCTTTTCCCTCCTGCCCTGGAGTTTGAACAGAGGCACTCCAGCATCTCCTGGTGTGGTCCTGGCTGAGGCTGAGGCATCCTGCCCTGCAGCCAGCGGGGGCTCCTGGCTGCTGCACAGTGGGCACGCTGTTAGCACGTGGCCCCTGTCCCATTGTGTCCCTGCTCACCTCTCAGTGCCAGAGCAGCCTGAGAGTGGCTCCCTTCCCTCTGGAAGTCCTTGGCATCCCGGTCCTCCTCTACAGTGGGCGACTAGAAAAGCAGAAAGGAAAGTGTCCGTCCTCTGAGGGGGGTGGCAGGGGTCTCCCTGGCGCTGCCTCAATCGCAGGGGTCCCCGCTCTGTGCCCGCTGGGCTGCCTCCTGCTCACTCAGCAGGTACGTGTCGATGAAGTCGAAGATCTCATCCGGGCTGATGGGCAAGATGTAGCGCTCACGATCGGTGCCCGCTTTGTCCAGCAGCACCATGTTGAAGTGGTAGCGGGTGAGGTGCAGGAACTGCCTGGGGGTGCAGAGGGGAGCTGGTGGTTAGGACCGGGGCCCCTGCTTTGGGGCTGAGCCTTCCTACCCCACCCAGCCATGGTCAGGCCCTCCTGAGGGTGGTTGCTTCTACCTCCTGAGGGCCACGTGCCAGAAGGGCCACGTACCCTGCAGCCAGCCTGCCCCATCCCATGGTACCTGAGCTCCTCCATGATGCCAACAGACAGCTGGTGCTCCCGGATGCGCCCCACTTCGTGTGGGGGCTGCCCCACCAGCTCAATGATGGTGACGTGCCGCAGTTCCAGCCCACACGTGGCTTGCTGCAGAGGAGAAGGGGAGGTGGTGAGAGGGTGCTGGCGGGGCACAAGAAGGGGGCGGTGCGAGGCCTCACCTGCAGCATGGAGATCTGCATCTTGTAGTAGCGGTTAGCGGAGTCGGGGGCTGAGATGACAAGGAGCCGGCGTTTCTCGTAGAACTGATCCAGCAGGCTGGCTGCCGAGTTCACAGCTGTGTTGATCTGCATGGCTGGGGCACGAAGTGAGCGCATGAGCACAAGGAGAAATGCCATTCTGCACCCTCTCTTCCCCTGCCCCTTGCCACTTACGTGCACAAAGGGGCTGGGAGCCTGTCCATTGCTGGGTGGACTGGCAGACCCGCAGGGAGGTGCCCTGGCGCTCGTAGCCCCCGTCACAGAGGTACTCGCACGTGGCACCGTAGTTGTTGCCGTCAGAAGTGCAGGAGAGGTAGCCGTGCTGCGGAGGCTTCAGCACAGGGCAGCGTCTCACTGCGAAGGAAGAGGCCAGGTGAAATCAGGCGGCCAAGCAGGCTAGGGGTGTAGGACACGGCCCTGGGCAGGGAGGAGGGAGCCTGCAGCCCGAGGGAGCCCTCTTCACCTTGGACACGGATCCTGAACTTGCAGCTGGCCCGGTTGTACGCCTGGTCGTGGGTGGTGTAGCGGATCACGTGCTCTCCTTCAGGGAACTCTGAGCCAGGTTCTGGGCCCCGCAGCATCACCCTGCAGCCAGCAGACAGGTTTCTTGATCAGGGCCCCAGGAGGGACATTCAGCTGCCACCAATGCAGCCCCCAGCCTTGGCTGGAGATGCCAGCAGCGCGTCCGTGCTCACCTCTTGATGACACCATCAGCAGAGTCCTTCACCCGTGGTGGGTCCCAGTACACCGTGGCAGTCAGCTTGCCTGGCTCTGCTATCCGTTCACGGGAATCTGGGCAGCGGATCTTGGGAGGTTCGACATCTGCCCACAGGAAGGAGGAATAAGCTTGGGGAACCTGGGGATGTCGGGGCTGTGCTACAAGAGCAGGGCACTGGGTGCCCAGCAACCCCACAGCTGCTGAGCATAGCCTGGCACCCAGAGCAAGCAAAGCCTGGTGTAACGCCAGCAGAGTGCCCGGGTTTGGCCCCAGCCCTGGAGCGATGTGCCCTGCACCAGCCTGAGCTCTGAGGCTAACAGCACCTGGGTCAGGCACGGGGGGTGACGCCTGCAGGCACAGAGGGGACGGAGGGCAGCCCTGCCCATGGGGCTGCGTGCCCCAGCAGCATCGAGCTGGCCGACAGGCTGGGAGGGCGGCAGGGTGAGAATTTACCTACACAGACTGGCTCGCTGCCGCTCCAGCGCCCGTCCTCCATGCACATGCGGCTCCGGTCGCCCTCCAGCTGGTAGCCGGGCAGGCAGGTGTAGTCGCAGCGAGAATCCATCTGCACTCCAGCCGAGCACACGTAGGAGCCCCGCAGCACCGCCGGCAGCACGTGGCATCGGATCTCTGGGCCAAACGGAACAAAGAGGGGAGGGAAGTGGCTGGGCTGGCCGTGCCAGCGGGCAAAGCGCCCGGGGCTGGCTGCCACAGGGCTGGTGATGCCTTGGGGGAGGCCAGCGAGCCGGATCAGCGTGGCATACTCACGTCGGCAGTAAGCCATCCCGGACCAGCGGCGGCTGGGCAGGCACTGCACAGTGCTGCGTCCCACCAGCCGGTAGCCGCGGGCGCAGCTCAGCTCGCAGCGTGTCCCCAGGCTGCTGCGGTAGGAGCCCCCATGGGGCGAGTAGCAGGTTGCCTCTCCGCGGTAGATGTTCAGCGTGGCGCACCACTGGGGCACTGGAGGGGGGTAAAGGGAAGCAAGGGAGGCACTCAGCTGTGCTGTGCCTCGGTTTCCCCACGGGGAGCTGAGGAACAGGCCTGGGGTGCTGTTACCTCGGCGGTAGTCCAGGGCAGGCTCAGGGGGGGCTTCTTCCACGTACACTTCATTGGTGTGGCTCTCGGCGGTGTAGTAGCCAGACCCTGGTGAGTAGGAGAGAGATGAGGGGGCCGTGCAGCCCAGGTGATGCTGCCTGCCTGTGCAGCAGCACAATCCAGTCCCAAACTGTCCCGCGAGTCCCCCCAGAGGGAAACCTCACCTCCAGTTTGACTTTGCCCTGTTGTCCCAGTGCCCTGCTGGGTCTGGCACTGCTGGGAAGGGTTAAGCAGGGCAAACAATGAGCCCCGTTCCTGGGGACGTGGTGCACGCTGGCACCAGCCCGCAGACTAAACAGCCACAAGGGCAGACGCGGTTACTGCAGGAAACGGGTGCTGGCCTGAAACGGGCTGGCAGAGACCCCCAGCCTTTCACTGCCAGGAAACCGTCCTCTAACCGATCCTATTGAACTCTCCCTGCCGCTGTGCCATGGGTACGACCAGCTCTGGTCCAGGGGGAAGGAAGAAAACCTCTCTCCTGCCCGTCCCAGCAGAGCAAGGGAGGCTCTGCCTCTCCTCATCTCGCTGGAGATGGCTGGTCAGAGATGCAGCCCTTGTGTTCCAGGGCAGGACGGAGCTGCTGGAGGGACGGTGCTGGAGGAGCTTGGCTGAAGCTGCTGGACCCACGCCACCCCTGCTGTGCAGAGTGGCCCCTGGCCCCATGGGAAAGGGGGAGGACAGCCCGGTGAGGGCCTCGCACCAGTGGGGACCCTCTGGCCTGCACAACCCCGATGTCCCCACGGCAAAGCGAGCGGTGGGGGCAGGCAGGGAGGCGTGGGGGGCTGGGGAGGAAGCCCTGCACGTAGAGAGAGCTGGCGCCCTTCCCTGCGGCCCCTCGGCACGCCGGCCGGCTGCGGCATTCCCCAGCACTGAGCTCACGTTTCCGCCGCTTTTCCGCTGGCCCCCGCCAGCGCTGCCCCCTCCTCGCCCCCCCAGTGCTGCGGGGAGCCCATCCCACCGCACCCCCTGCTTCGGTCCCGCTGCTGGGGCTGGGAGGGCTCATCCCCTGGCTGTGCTGTGCTGTGGGCACTACCCAGCCTGGCAGCACCCATCTCCCCTTCCCCCCTCCTGCTTTTGGCAAAGCGGGGGGGATGAAAGCCGAGGCCAACCCAACCCGCAGCCCCTCCGTCACGTGGAGGAAACTTTTATTGCAAACCTCTCCTACGAGAGCCCTACTACAGAGCGACTCCCCCCTCTGCTTCCCACAAACTTGTGAAGTCACCCACTCGTTTCCACAAAGCCTTTTATCCTGCTGCCCTTCCCACGCTGTCTGGCGCCAAAGAAATACGGCTGCCTCTGGGGAGCCCAGCACCAGGGCTGGCACCGGCGGGGCCAGCAGCGGGGCCAGCAGCGTGGCTCCTGCCCGGCCAGCAGGGCTGTGCGGCTCTGCCCCATGGCCCTGGGGGCTGCCCCTTCCTAGCAGATGTACCCTATCATTGCAGATGCTCACCTGGGACTGTCCCAGCCCAGCAGGAGCATCCCCTGGCAGCACCACGAGGGGAAGGGGAAAGGGACCGGGAAGGGGAAGGGAGGACGAGAGCCCCGGCCCAGCTGCCCAGCCACGGGTGGGCTCGGGGCTGAGCGCTCCATCCAGGCGGACATCTGCTCGCCGATGGCTCCAGCGGGAGCGGGGAGTCAATGGAAAAGTTTAGCTCTCACAAGCCGGGCTGTGATGGAGAGGCTGGTTATTTGCTCATCTCTGGATGCTTCCCAGCCCCGTGGTGGTGTCAGCTCTCCTCTCCTTTCCCCCCCAGGCCCAGCGGTGCAAGCCCTGATGCTCTCCCTGGCAGCACCGCACCAGGACCCCTCTCCTTCCACCCCCCAGCCTCTTGCCTCCACCCTCACCCGCCCCAACGCTCGCTGTCCCCCTGCAGACCCCCGCAAGGGGACCCGTGCAGATGCCAGCCCGCGATCCCCGCGGCACCCACCTTCATGCCACGTGGATGACACCAGCCTGGTGAGGAACACCAGCAGGACGGGGGCCGCCTCCTGCGCCATGCAGCGGGCCGGGGCCAGGCCAGGCCTCCTGCAAAGACGGGAACAGGCTGGGATCGGCACGCGGCTCCCTCCGTCGCCCCGTCCCTACACCGCCGGCTCACGCTCCCGCTTGGCCGCGCTGCCTCTGCTGAGCAAACCCACTTTTCCCCCTCTGCTGCCTATCCCAAACATTCAAAAGGCGTGAGTCAGGCCCCAAAACGACGAGATCGTCAAAAGTAATAAATCCCAGGGCTGCCTGTTTTTCCGTGCACCTTCTGCTTCTCCAAGGCTTCGAAAGCTTTGCAGATGTTTCCCTGCGAGCAGCAGAGCCAGGAGCCGCTTTCCGAGAGGGAGCGAGCGGAGGAGCTTCCCACCAGCCTGGCCAGACTCCTGCAACGGGAGCTCCGGCGACGGCAGAATGAGGACAAAACCACAGGAATCAGGACCCTTTTTATTTTTTTTATTTTTTTTTTTTTCCACCGGGGAAGGGCTGGCTCGTGCGGGACGAGCTGAGGCTGCGACGAGAGAGGAGGGAACCTCGCCACGAAGCCCAGCCTTTGAACCCAGGCCCGGGGGCGAGCGCTTCCAGCTGGGCTCTGGCTCCCAGCTGCAGCCCGGCCCCCGGCAGCGAACTGGAGCCGGGCAGGGGGCTGCGACCCCCGGGGCACCCGCGCCCCGACGGGGTGGGCAGGTAGGCGCTAATTAGGTGGCCAAGGCTAATTAGCACGCTAATTAGTAACACAGCCGGGCTGAGCAAGCAGGGCTGCTGCTCCAGCTGCCGGGGATTCGGGGGGCAGCCCCACGAGGGGGGTGCTGCGGTCACCGCCAGCTGCTCCTGCCCTCCCCCGTGGGCCCCTCCGATGGGGCGGTGCGGGGGGAGGCGGCCTCCTTAGGGCTCGCCCGGCCTTTTCCGTGAGCCCTCGGCAGCTTTCAGCCCCGCCCGGGAGGCTTCGGCTCGGGGCGGGCCGCGGCCACCCCCGACGGGGCGGGCCGGGGCGGAGCTGGGCTGGGCTCGGCGGGGCTCGGCGCGGCAGGACGCGGCTCGGCCCGGCCTGGCCATGGCGTCTCCGTCGCGGCGGCTGCAGACGAAGCCGGTGATCACCTGCCTGAAGAGCGTGCTGCTCACCTACACCTTCGTCTTCTGGGTGAGAGCCGAACCGGGGCCGTCCCGCCCCGTCCGGTCCCGTCCCGTCCTGCCCGAGCCCGCGGGCGCGTCGCGGCCGCGCTGTCCTGTCGCGACAGGCGCCGACCTCAGCGGTGGCTTCCCCTCTTTCCCTAGGTGTCGGGCATCGTGCTGCTGGCCGTGGGCGTCTGGGGCAGGGTGAGCCTGGCCGTCTACTTCTCCCTGCTGGATGAGAAGGCCACCAACGTGCCCTTCGTCCTGGTGGGTGCCGGCTGTCGTCGTGGTCCTGCTGGGCACCTTCGGCTGCTTCGCCACCTGCCGCGGCAGCACCTGGATGCTCAAGCTGGTAGGTGCCCGACGAGGGGGGCTGGGGAGGGACTGTGTCCCACCAGGACACCCCTCCCAGCCCTCTCCTCCTGCCCGCAGTACGCCATGCTCCTGTCCCTCATCTTCCTCATCGTCCTGGTGGCCGCCGTCGTCGGCTTTGTCTTCAGGCACGAGGTGAGTCGGGGGTGGCTGGTGCCAATGGGTCAGGTCCCTGGGGTGCCTTGGGCTGGGTCGACCCTGTGGGGCACAGCCACACACTGCCCGCAAGGATGGAGGCACTGCCTAAGTACAAATGGGGTCAGCGTGGCTGGGATGAGCAGCTTGGCCCCCAGCAGGACCCCATAAGGTCCAGGCTGAGCATCTGGCTGTCCGAGGGCAGGGGCTGCATCTGCTGGAGGCAGCCTTCCTCCCTCTGCCTCTGACAGCATGAGCAGCGTGACCCTGGACCTTAACTTCTGCCTTCGGTCTGCCTTCCGAAGTACAACTGAAAGTGTCATTTTGCTTGCTTTCTGTAAGTAAAGCTCCTCCGAGCGTTTTCATGCTGTGGAGCAACCTGCTAGTAGGGGGAGTTGGCACCGTGTAGGTCCTTGTTATTACACACGGCATCCCTGCCACCGCAGGGATACAAGCCTGCCTTTTATTAGAGCATTTAATTACCTGGGTTCCTGGGGAATGTCCACAGGCTGTGGCCAGAGTCATTCCTGCCGTCGCCGAGAGGTGACTAACGTGGGGCCGTGGCGTTGTGGGGCCATGGGTCTGGGAGCTGCAGTTCCCAAAGCCCCAAAGCACGCGAGCGCGCAGGAGGGGGACAGCGCCTCAGCACTGTCTTCCTCCTGCGGCTGCCGAGACCTCTCTTTTGCAGATCAAGACAAACTTTGAGAGCAACCTCAACCTGGCCTTGAAGAACTACAACGTGACAGCGGATCAGCACAGTGAGGCGGTCGACACCATCCAGAGAACCGTGAGTGCCCCTGTCTGCCTCCTGGTTCCTGGTGGGTAGGTGTGCATGTCTCACCCACCTGCATCCTCCGAGCCCCTGGGTGTTACCAGCTGGGTGTTCCCCTCCATCGCAGTGCTAGTTTTGCACCACGGGACGTTAGGTGGAGCGTTTGGGGCCCTCTTGCTGTTTCCTTGCACGGCAGGGCTGCCTGCAGGAGGGATAAGTGGGTGCCCGTGGAAAGCATCTGTTCTGAGTTAGGGCTGGTGAGTGCTGCCGGGAGGGTCTCTGGAGGGTGTACTGAGTGCTGGCCACATGCAGAGCACAGGCAGCCCCTGTCTGTAAGGTTAGGGCATCCTGGTGAGGGTCACAAGGCTGCTGAGTTTGGGAGGAAAGCTGTTTTAGGGAAGAGATGAGCATGAGGTCATGGGCAGTTCCTAGATGGGAGCTGGGATGTAGAGTGGTAAAAGCACAGGAGCTGCAAGAGCCCCTGTAGGGCTGGGGGATCGGTAGGCTGGCATGACCATACTCCCCAAATTTTCTTCCCCCTCCAGCTGCACTGCTGTGGGGTGCAGAACTACTCAGACTGGGAGAAGACCGATTACTTCGCCCAGAGGGGAATCCCTCGGAGCTGCTGCAAGAGCCAGGATGACTGCTCAGTGGAGGATCTGAGAGACCCAAATAAAGCCAAGCTGAAAGTGTTTGTGGATGTAAGTTAAGCTCATAAAAATCCCCTGCAAGTCCTGGAGGTGGGGAAGGGAGAGCTAGGTAAATAGGGAAGGGTTTGGCCTTCACTTGAAGGGAGAACTGCTTTCTAGATGCAGGTACCCTGTGGCTCAGGGATTCCTCTGGGATGGGTATAGGCACAAAATATGTGAGAACGAGCCTCTACTCCCCTCTAACGTCCCCCCTGCTCCTTCCCTGAAGGTCAGGGACCAGCCTGCCCCCAGTATTTGCACTTGGGGCTGTGCATTTTGGAGAACGGGTAAATGAGGAGGTAACTTCCTGGTCAAGCTCATTGCAAGGTGCTGACGTCTCTCAGCTGCTGTGCAAAGTCCTGCTCCACGGTGAGCACAGGTGACTTCATCCCGTGGGGATCACTCGTGATGTGTGCGAGGGGGTTACGCGGAGGACATGCCTCTGCTGAGTCACTTTGTTTAACCCAACACTCACACTGAGCAAAACCAAGGGCGGCGTTGCCTTTGATAGTGCTGGGCTGGATGCTGATCTCACCATGTGGATCGGGGTGGTTTTGCTCCAGCCAGGCAGGAGGGTGGCGGGCCAGCAGGGAGCCTGGGACCTCGGCCTCCTGCACCAGAGCGTCTTCCCCGGGAGCTGCGTGTGCTCTGGGGAGAGGCAGGTTGGTGCTTGGGGGAAGGAAAGCAGTGGACCCACATGCTTGCTGTCTGTCCCCTGCAGGGTTGTTTTTTCCTGGTAACGTCAACGATGGAGTCAAAAATGAGTGTGGTGGCTGGAATCTCCTTTGGCATTGCGTGCTTTCAGGTAAATCTCCGCTGCCTAGCGCGGGAGCAGTGCAGAGTGAGGCTAGCATGCCTCCAGAGGCATTCAATTTCTGTGCAGGATATGTATGTGTACAAAAGGCACAGCCTGTCTCAGCCAGAGAGGAACAGCTTTTCTGCAGCTATCCAGTGTTTAACCTCACCCCCTGTGCAATCTCCAGGGTTCTTTAAACCCAAGGCTGAAGCACCAACTCTGTTTCCCTGATTCCGGGTTATTTGGGAAGAGCTCCTTTCTGCAACAGCTGACTTAAAGAAAAACCAAAGCCTGTGCTGCCCTGGATAAAGTCCCTGCACTCAGCTGTTGGGAGGGGGATACTTAGTGCCCCTCCTTTATCAGGGAATCATTGTGGGCTCCCTTCTGTGCAGCTGGGTCCCTCAGAGCATGTATCCCTTGTGCTGTTGGCCCTGACGAGGAGCACCTCACACTCCATACACCACCTCAACCTGCAACTGCTTCCTCCCCCTCTGGCTCCTCAACCTCCAGTTTACTTTGTGCTGTAGGACACTTCCTGCACGGGCTTCGGGCAACAATGTGCTTAGTGTCCTGTAATCTGACAGGCAGATCCCAGCAGGAAACGAGAGGCCTCTGCCCCTGAGTTCCTGGCTAAATTGGGCTTTGTGCACGGTGAATGCTATAGCCTGGGTTTCCCAAGGAGCTGTGCACAATAGGGCTGAGCGCTTGGGAAATCCAGATCCGATGTGTCACAGCAGGAGCTGCAGGGTGTGCAACTGGCCCTTATTTAGCTGGCTTCTGGAAACTTGCTCGGCTCTAGGTGCTAGGCACTTGCTGAGCAAGCGTGGCAGGCCCTCACTTTGGAGAGAAGTGAATTCGCTCTTCACATGGTCCAGCACCCAGCAGCCGTGGGGTGACCTCTGAGGCACAGGACCAACAGGTAACAGCACCAGGGGAGGGTGCAGAACCTCACCAAGATACTGCTGCCAGAACAAGCATGTTACCCTGCCTTTCCTGTAACAGAAACAGTAAAATGGGGGAGAGGCTGCAGACAGCGGGGCTCTGGCTGCAGTCTGTGCTAGCAAATGCTTTCAGCTGTGGCTGGGAGCTGGGACCGGTCTCTGTGCTCCTCCCGCGGTGATGTGAGCTGTGCTCTGCTCACCATGCTCCGCATGGGGTGGCTGAGACGTGACTGACACGCAAATGGTGAGCTGCCTGCTTCCCTCGGCTCTGGCCGTGCAATTATCTCAGCTAATGCTGGGCTGGGGAATTGTAGCCATTTCCTGGTTTTTATCACCCGTTCAGCAAGTGTTTGCTGTCGTGCAGCCAGCAGGGGCCAATCATGTAAATGTGCCTCTAACTTGGCTTGTGTAGGTCAAACTCCTGCAGGATCCAGCCC